TTTTTTTTTTTTTTTTTTTTTGAGACGGAGTCTTACTCTGTCACCCAGGCTGAAGTGCAGTGGCGCGATCTCCGCTCACTGCAAGCTCCGCCTCTCGCGTTCACGCCATTCTCCTGCCTCAGCCTCCCCAGCAGCTGGGACTACACGCACATGCCGCTATGCCCGGCTAATTTTTTTGTACTTTTAGTAGAGACTGGGTTTCACCGTTGTTAGCCAGGATGGTCTCGATCTCCTGACTTCGTGATCCACCTGCCTCGGCCTCCCAAAGTGCTGGGATTACAGGCGTGAACCACCACACCCAGCCTTTTTTTGTTATTTTTGAGTAGGATATAAGTGAGAAATTCAAGAAAATTTTGAGGCATTTAAGAACACAGGTTGGCCAGGCGCGGTGGCTCATACCTGTAATCCTAGCACTTTGGGAGGCTGAGACAGGTGGATTACTTGAGGTCAGGCGTTTGAAACCAGCCTGGCCAATATGATGAAACCGTGTCTCTACTAAAAATACAAAAAAAACTAGCCAGATGTGGTGGCACATGCCTGTAATCCCAGCTACTTGGGAGGCTGAGGCAGGAGAATTGCTTGAACCCGGGAGGCAGAGGTTGCAGTGAGCCGAGATCATGCCACTGCACTCCAGCCCGGGCGACAGGGCAAAACTCCATCTCAAAAAAAAACCAACAAAACAGTTTATAGGTTAAGCAAATGACAGACCTCAGGATTATATTATTCTAGGGAACACAGAGCATCTGGCCCACAAGCCAGCCCTCATCAGAGTGACTTATTTTTAGGCTTTGCAACCCACATTAATTGCTCTTTTTTTTTTTTCCTTTTTTCCACGTTTTAAAATTGTATATATTTGAATCGAAGTACATGTCAGGATAAAGAATCAAAAGAATTATCAAAAATATTAGGCTGAATCCTATGAAGTTGTTAACAATGCCTTTGACCTTTAAAAGAGGTAATTTCTTTTTTTTTTTTTTTTTTTTTTTGAGACGAAGTCTTGCTCTGTCACCCAGGCTGGAGTGCAGTGGCCGGATCTCAGCTCACTGCAAGCTCCGCCTCCCAGGTTTACGCCATTCTCCTGCCTCAGCCTCCCGAATAGCTGGGACTACAGGCGCCCACCACCTCGCCCGGCTAGCTTTTTGTATTTTTTAGTAGAGACGGGGTTTCACCGTGTTAGCCAGGAAGGTCTCGATCTCCTGACCTCGTGATCCGCCCGTCTCGGCCTCCCAAAGTGCTGGGATTACAGGCTTGAGCCACCGCGCCCGGCAAAGAGGTAATTTCTTACAAAATAAGGATATTTGTTCATTATAGTTTTTTTGGAATAGAGAAACACTGGGAGCTATTTAGATGTTTTCTTTTTCTATTTATTTATTTAATTTATTTATTTAGTAGAAAGACAGGGTCTTACTATGTTCCCCAGGCTGGTCTTGAACTCCTGGGCTCCAGTGATCCTCCTGCCTCATCTTCCCAAAGTGCTGGGATTACAGGCTTGAGTCACCGTGCCTGTAATGTTTTTCATCATAACATTGTTCAGAATAGTGAAAAAAATGAGAGTAATCTAAATGTCAAACAAATAAATCATGCCACATCCATATCACAAAATTAAAATCAATGTTTTAGATTTAATAACTCACTCCCTTTGTGTTCTCATGAACACATGATTTAATATTGGTTTCATGACATTAAGTTCCATTTATACATGCTGGAAACTTCCAAATTTATATCTAACGTCCAACTATAGCTCCCCAAATCCAGCCCAAGACATTGAATTTCCTCTGTAGTGTCCCGGCAAGTTCTGGAGTATGTCACCTCCTCATGGATGCGTCCTTGGCACCTGGGGGCAGATTCCAAACAAGTCCACTTCTTTTAAATGTCTCAGTAAACTTTTTTTTTTTTTTTTTAGAATGGGTCTCACTCTGTTGCCCAGACTGGAGTGCAGTGGCATGATCTCGGCTCACTGCAAACTTTACCTCTGGGGCTCAAGCGATCCTCTCACCTCAGCCCTGCAGGTAGGTGGGAACACAGGCACATGCCACCACGCCAGGCTAATTTTTTGTATTTTAGTAGAGACGGGGTCTTGCCACATTGCCCAGGCTGGTCTCAAACTCCTAGGCTCAAGGAATCCGACTGCCTCAGCCTCCCACAGTGCTGAGATGACAGGTGTGAGCCGCTGTGCTCAGCCTCAGTAAACTTCTTTGCCACCCAGAGAGAGGGTTGTACCCTCTCTCAGGGTCTGGTTCAACCTCAGGCAGGGGGGCTCATTTAGATTTGCCTTGACTCAGCCCTATGGTTTTTTTTTTTTGGTGGGGGGATGAAGTCTCACTCTGTCACCCAGGCTGGAGTGCAGTAGCGTGATCTCGGCTCACTGCAACCTCTGCCTCCCAGGTTCAAGCGATTCCCCTGCCTCAGCCTCCAGAGTAGCTGGGACTACAGGCTCGCGCCATCATGCCCGGCTAATTTTTTGTATTTTTAGTAGAGATGGGGTTTCACCGTGTTAGCCATGATGGTCTCGATCTCCTGACCTTGTGATCCGCCTGCCTCGGCCTCCCAAAGTGCTGGGATTACAGGTGTGAGCCACCGTGCTCAGCTGACTCAGCCCTATAGTTAATAGCTGCTCCCCATAAATGCTTTTCTTATAATCTTTAAGAGTTTTGTTTTCATCACCTGGCATCAGATCCTCCATTATTCCAATTTCTTGTTATTGTTTGTGATAGGTAATCTTAGGTCAACTTTGCTGGGCCAGGGTGCCCAGAAACTTGGTCAAACATTATTCTAGATACTACTATGAAGGTGTTTTTGGATGAGATTATACTTTTTTTTTTTTTTTGAGATGGAGTCTTGCTCTGCCACCCAGGCTGGAGTGCTATGGCGTGGTCTCAGCTCACTGCAACTTTCGCCTCCTGGCTTCAAGCAATTCTCTTGCCTCAGCCTCCTGAGTAGCTGGGATTACAGGCCTATGCCACCATGCCCATCTGATTTTTGTATTTTTAGTAGAGGCGAGGTTTCACCATGTTGGCCAGGCTGGTCTTGAACGCCTGACCCTGTGATCTGCCCACCTCAGCCTCCCAAAGTGCTGGGATTACAGTGCCCGGCGAGATTAACATTTTAATTGGTGGACTTCGAGTAAAGCAAATTACTATCCGTAATATGGGTGGGCCTTATCCAATCAGTTTAAGGCCTTAATATAAAAAAGACTGACTTCCTCCTGAGCAAGAAGAAATTCTGCCAGCAGACTGCCTTTTGGCTTGAACTGTCTCTTCTCTGATGGCCCACAATAAAGATTTAGACTCCCCAGGCCTCCACAATTGTGTGAGCCAAATCCTTAAAATGTTTCTCTATCTATACATGTCCTATTAGTTCTGTTTCTCTGGAGAACCCTAACACATTAATCTTTTATTTTTATTTTTTTGAGACAGTCTCTCTCTGTTGCCCAAACTGGAGTGCAGTGGCATGATCTCGGCTCGCTGCAACCTCTGCCTCCCAGGTTCAAGCGATTCTCCTCCCTCAGCCTCCAGAGTAGCTATGGTTACAGGCATGCGCGACCACACCCAGCTACTTCTTGTACTTTTAGTAGAGACAGGATTTCACCATGTTGGTCAGGCTAGTCTCGAACTCCTGACCTGGTGATCCACCCCCCCCCCCAACCCCGCCTTTGGCATCCCAAAGTGCTGGGATTACAGGTGTGACCCACCGCGCCTGGCCTACATTATTCTTTACATTCAGCTACCCCAGTTCAAATTGCTGTGTGGTTTCTGTCTCCTGATTGGACTGTGATGAATACATTATTATTCTCTCCTCAACTCCCAATCCATATGTGCAGATACTTACCTAGCATCTCTATCTGGATGTCTAATAGGTATCTCAAAAGCATCACAAACTTCTTATCCCCAAAAGTAGCTCTTGATGCTCCTCCTACAAACTTGTTTTTTTTTCTTTTGAGTTGCAGTGAGCCAAGATTGTGCCACTGCACTCCAGCCTGGTGAAAGAGCGAGACTCCATCTCAAAAAAAAAAAAAAAAAAAAGAATTTCATGGGTTTTTTTTTTTTTTTTTTTGAGACGGAGTCTCACGCTGTTGCCCAGGCTGGAGTGCAGTGGCGCGATCTCGGCTCACTGCAAGCTCCGCCTCCCGGGTTCCCGCCATTCTCCTGCCTCAGCCTCCTGAGTAGCTGGGACTACAGGCGCCCGCCACCGCGCCTGGCTAATTTTTTGTATTTTTAGTAGAGACGGGGTTTCACTGTGGTCTCGATCTCCTGACCTTGTGATCCGCCCGCCTCGGCCTCCCAAAGTGCTGGGATTACAGGCTTGAGCCACCGCGCCCGGCCAATTTCATGGGTTTTTGTTTGTTTGTTTTAAGTCTCACTCCTGTTCCCCCAGACTGGAGTGCCATGGCATGATCTCAGCTCACTGCAAACTCTGCCTCCCAGGTTCAAGCGATTCTCCTGCCTCAGCCTCCCAAGTAGCTGGGATTACAGGCGACTGCCACCATGCCTGGCTAATTTTTGTATTTTTAGTAGAGACAGGGTTTCACCATGTTGGCCAGCCTAGTCTTGAACTCCTGACCTCAGGTGATCCACCCGCCTTGGCCTCCCAAAATGCTGGGATTCAGGCCTTCTCCTTTTAATGATATATTTTGATGACCAGAAATTCTTAATTTTTATATAGTCAGTTGTTTTTTACAGCAAAGCACCTGTGAGCATAGTCAAATTTATCACACTTATCCTTTATAATTTAAATGTCTTACTTAAGAAAACTTCCCTTTCCCAAGTTAATAAGTACATTTGATATTTTCTCCTAAAAATTATGTTCCATCTTTCACATTTAGGTTGTTAAGCCACCAATAATTGATTTTTCTGTATGGTGTGAGGTAGGGTTCAAATTTTCACCCCTTACTCAGAAGGCTGTTTTTCTACATAATAGTTTCGGTTTGATCTCCCTGCTTTCTGGAATCTCTTATCCTATGAAACACTATCAAGATTCTACAACAATGAAGCAAAACAAAGTATCAATCCCACAGTTTTATTTGTAAAGAACAAAGCATGAAAAGTCATATTTAAAGGTACTCCCAAACCTGAAAAACCCACGTCAGTTTATCTGATATGTATGTTAAAGTGCTTAATATCACAATACTCTTTTAAATTTTATATTATGTTCAGATGAGAAAAAAAATCCAGTTCTGATGCATTTTGTTAACAATACAAAGAAAAACAATATAATTTAAATTGAGAAATGCTAATTTGAAAAGAAAGATACACAGGGTACATTTATATATGATTCAAGTGTAACACAGAGCATTCTAAATGTTTCACACCCTCATTTGATTGACAACAGGAACTCCTTACTATACTTCTCTATTGTTGACAAGACTTGGTGTTTAGAATCAAGGTTGGATTCACACACAAGTACATTCAGGTAAATTAGAACAAGCATGATTCCCTCCTACATAATCCAAGGATACCCTGGATCCCTTCGAATGAGGAAAAATTTTATTTGAGGTTTTTTTCTTCCCTTTATCTTGATGTGATATATCTCTGAAGCCAATCTTTATCTTGTCCTTGAGAGGGTGAACAACTCTAATCAGATTTTGGAGATGAGGTTCTTCTTAGATTCTTTTGATCACACTACATCAGCAACCGCTTCAAAAAGCTTAGAATTCAGCTGATTCAAGGGATTTGTAAGTTCATTTTAATAGGAATAAAGGACCTAGTAGTTTATTATCCTTTTCTGTCTCCTATTTATGCTAAACATTAAAGTAATAAATACTTATGTAAGAAACAGACTTCAAAAGACATGGATGACTTGGAAATAGGATTCACTATAAAAGTAGAGAAGGGCTCAAGACTCTCAATCAGTGAAGGTGTGTTAATACTGAAATATAAATAGCTAAAGTTCAGATTGTCTTTTCAACATAGTGAAAAGGATAGACTAGTTTCTGTAAACCTCACAGAAAATATTCACAGTTCCCTAAATGAAAAAATCATAATTTTTAGCAGAAAGAAGGTATTTCATTATGAAGATCCACACTCCTAATGTTGTGAAATAAATATTTCCCTGGAAATTTGAGGTCCTTGTCTGTCACCTCATGTTTCAAAATACCTTAGGGATGTCAACGTATACTACACATAAGCTGTCGTATAGTCTTGAACCTCTCTTTTTCACTTACATGAACATATAACGGTGCTTTATTGCCAAAAAAGGAAATATGAGCAATTCAGTATTTCCCCCATATCATTCATATAGTGTGATAGAAGTTCATTAAAATAATTTTTTAAAAAGCCATGTGAAAGTAAATACCACAGGGTTACAAAAGGTACAAAAATGTGTGAAACATTTAAATTTCAGAGGGAAATCCACACTTCTGCAAGGTTTAAGTTTCTCATATCAAATTCTCATTCCCAGTGGAAAACAGGGCAGGGAGGGTTGGGAGGCTTTTGTCCTCAGTAGCCTGCTTTTTCCCACTTAGGACTCCACTTTATACTACTTCACACTGACTCGCAGTCATTTTTAAGGCATATGACTCCCGACCAGGGCACAGATCTCACACATACTTCCAACGTCAGTGTAATGCCACTGTGTCATAAAGGTCGAGATTAGGGGTTTCAGGACATATGAAAAACATTGGGAAAATAAATATTTCAAGAGGTAATACTTTTGGCAATTTAATTTTAAAACAACTTCTTCACCAGCTATTACTATGCAAAAATAATCATTATGGTCCCAGGCATTTAATTTATTTGCAGGAAAAAACAAAACAAACTAAATGTTGATTTTTTTATTTAACTTTTGAGACATGATCCTAAAGCAATATATTAATTTGAAAAATTACCACAGCAGAAAACATGCCTCTATGTGGGTATGGTCCTTCCAAAAGTCAGCTTAAAAGTCAAGCATTTATTCTAAGCATTCTTCTACTACAGTTGTACTCAAACTTTTGGTATAACTTAGAGACAGTTATGAGCCACATAAAAACTAAGTCCTTTGTTCTGTTATTTTGAGATGGGATTTCCATATGTTACCCAGGCTGGACTCAAACTCCTAGGTTTAAGTGATCCTCCTGCCTTGGCTTCCCAAGCAGCTGGGACTACAGGTGTGTACTGCCATGCCCAGCATGTCTTATTTCTTTATAGCTGCACTTCTTATGTGACCCCAAACTCAGCCTAAGCATCCTTTTTATTGATCAAACTTGGATCCTAAGGACTATTTCCAAATATTTAAATTTATTCTTAAAGGCCAGGATTGACCACCATTGGGAATATTCAAAAGAATGGGGGTACCGGCCATTCAAGCAGCTCACACAAAGAGGGCCCCACACGTTTATAGCATGGGCTGTATCAACAGAATAAGTACATGGGCTCACAAGGTGACTAAAGGACCCATCATCCAAGAGGATGTGTCAGTTCTGATGTGTTTTATTAAAATCATTTCACTATTACAGTCATATTACACAAAGGCATGAAGATGAAATTTTAGGTGTAACTTTTTTGGGGGTATTACTTTTTAAAGTAACGGTTTTATTCATGGGCCCCAAATCCAACTTTGCTCTCAGTTTTTTTTTTTGAGACAGAGTCTCACTCTTGTCACCCAGGCTGGAGTGCAGTGGCACAATCTCGGCTCACTGCAACCTCCACACCTCCTGCATTTAAGCAATTCTCCTGCTTCAGCCTCCTGAGTTGCTGGAATTACAGGCCCTGCCACCACCCCCTGGATAATTTTTGTCTATTTTTTTTTTTTTTTTTTTAGTAGAGACAGGGTTTCACCATGTTGGCCAGTCTGGTCTCGAACTCCTGACTGACCTCAGATGATCCACCCGCCTCAGCCTCCCAAAGTGTCGGGATTACAGGCGTTAGCCACTGCACCTGGCCTGCTCCCAGTTTTTACAAGATGTTAATTCCCAACAATCTGAGAGCAATGTGTTAATATGAATATTAATTCTACTAAATGAATATTCATCCTTATTTCCTCCTTGTGTAGGTAGATGAATAAAGATCCAATAGTTTAAATAGAAAGACTACTGGTAAGAATGCCAGAAGGTCAGTCTCATGCCGCCTGGTGAAATCAAACAAACAAACAAACAAACAAACATGAATTCTAGAGCTTGTGTTGTCAGTGACCAGCTGTGGGGTAAGTGTAAGATTTAATCTCTCTATTCCTTAAGTGTTCCCTTCTACAAAGTAAGAAGGCTGGACGAGGTGCGTCAATCCTAGCACACTAACCTAAGTCATCCCCCTGGTTGCCTAGACCTGTCAGGAGCATGGCCTTATGAAGATACAAGCATGAAATCCTGGGTTGGACCCCTCTATAGTTTCTGATCACTAAACACAGTAGGAGCCCAGTGTAAAACAGGTTCTGGATATCTCCCACGATAGACTTCCCAGGTCCCTGGAAGAGCTGTACCATTGTAGACACACTTTAGCCTCAGGCAAACAAATTTCTGGTCTACCAAGAACCATCTTCTTAAACCATTTCCATGGGTTTTTAAATACAGCTGTCAACTCTCCTTTTCCTCAAGCATGAAGTCAATGTTAAAAGAGGCTGTCCTTGGCTGAATACAGTGTTTGATAAAGGGAGTTAGGCACTTGTTTCACTAGTTTCTTCCTCCAGGAAATAAGGTTAACAATACAGTTGGTCAAAGCTCAGCACCCTCAGATTGCACAAGGATACTGACGCCATGGCTTTGCTTTTCAGCCACAACTGGGAATAAAACTAGGAGCTCTGCTGAGGCAATTTTGCTGCTAAAAATGTACAAATGCCTAATTAGCATTACAGGACCTACCAGAAGATGAGGACTTAAGAGTAACTAGCCAATACTACATTTACTTAACTTCTTTATAAACTATCAAACTGGAAAGTTACTCACAACTTTTGGTCCTTCAAAATTGTTGCCACCTCTTGTTTTGCTTCCATTTTATCAGCCTGTGCCGCCAGTGGCTTTTAGCTTCTCTGGGTCAGTTGTTTTACATTATTACTCCCCTTCCTACAAAGGAACATAAAGCTTGCCCTGAAACACCCAGAAAGGGTTCATTCTCTCTCTCCTTCTGTTATTTGCATTATCATGGTCAACAAATGCTTCCACAAAAACATTCCAAGCCACACAGAACCCTCCTCCTCCTTAGACATTCCTTCCATTTCCTGAGGGGGGATGGGCCCTGGAGAGGTGGGTGATTAGGCCCTAAAAAAGACAGAGCTCGTGGTTATCCTTAAGAGGTAGACCACTGCAGAGTTTAGATGGCCACATTAAAAGTACAGAATCAAACTGCTGTTTGCAATTCTTATGACTATGAATCTAACACTGAAATTCACATCTCCCCAACATACCTCAAATAACAAGAATAAAAATGCCAAGAATGAAGTTAGTCTAGGCTAATCTTTCCAAAGTGTAAAGAAGTTATAATCCCACAATTGAACACACTTCTCAGGGCTTTGTATGTTCTCTTTCCAGTTCAGCCAAGCTCCTGGGGTCTAGTGTTAAAAATACTCCAATTCTATCATCTTGTGTGGACTGAAATTTTTTTCCAAAAGACTGGAGAAGTGACTAACAATTCGAATATATAAAACAGTTTGTAACTTAAAAGATACAAGTGCAGACTACCAGTACAGTAGGTAAACATGTGTGCATTCACAATACAAAGGATCAGACTCCAAGATGGATGGCTACTACGTAACAATGCATTCTGGGTTTCTTTGTGATACCTGGAGGAAAAAAAAAGCCCGACTGGGTTGCACTGTATTTACATCTTTACTGGCTTCTTCCTGGCTAGCACCACTCTTCCCCCCCAACCCCCAACATTTTTAAGCTACTTATTTTAAGTCACAGGAATATTCAATCTAAGAAAAGCATCTTATTCGAGTAATATAATTTCTTAAAGAAGATAGCATATTTACACACATCTAACACATGAAAATACTCTATTTTATACTAAATTCCAGGTTCAAATGAACTACAATACAACATTTTGCCTTGTCTGTAGAGTGAGGATTGTTCCAAATGGGGCATATGTTGGACTGCCCCTGCAGTGACTCACTACTGTCAGACAAGTCCAAATCGGTCCCCTAGTTGGGGAAGGAGCAAGGTTTGGACTGAGAGTTTCTAGACAGTTGGGTTACACGTCCACTCCTTTGATGAGTGATCCTTCTAGGACTATGGTGAAGTCCTGAATGGTCTGCAGAATTCGGATAAGGGAGTTGACAGTCATGCGGTCTCGCAGGAGAGCGCTCTCTTCATACATTCGAGTGATGGCTGGACACTCAGCTAACAATGGAATCCACTGTGGGAGCAGGCGATCCCTACAGATCCAAACAGAAACAATTCCTAAGCACTGCTGGCCTCACTGCAGAACAAGGCACACAGTGGAGCCTGTGTGAATGGGTAAGTGTGGGGCCTGATGGTACAAAATCTATCTAAGCTAAGAGGTCAGGAGAGAGGAAATCAAAGCCAAGAAGTTGAATATTTTCTGGTAAAACAAACAGTGATGAGATAGTGTAAAGCTAAAGGGAAAATCCATTATTTTAAACCCAATTTAATTACATTAGAGAGTCTATGCACATTAAAGACATTCTCTATTCTGATTTTACCACCTTTAGAAAGAGGCAGAATGTCATTTTCTATGTCTTTTTTTTTTTTTTTTTTTTAATAGGAGTGTTACTCTGTGGCAAGGCATGCCACAGTATACTGACCTTTTGGAAGAAAGACTACACTAAACTGTAGAGATTTGCTTTTTATTTTTTTAACTTACACAACGTAACAGGGTGAGGAACAAAATCAAAGCAGAAAAACATTAAGTAGATTTTATAAACCAGATGAGAGTTTGCATTGGTCTAATAAATCAGGAGAGTATAGAGATAAAAGGAGATAAAGATCATGCTCAAAAGAAATTTTAAAAGCACAGCTAAAACTGGGCTCCTTTTATGAAGAAGAAATACAGAACTTAGTTCTGTAAACCAGCTGTTTCAGGAGGATAAAACCTCACATCTTCAATTTTTCCTGATCAAACCTGACATTAGTAACCCATTGCTAAGTTCCTAAGACATCCTTATTGAGCATCCCCAACCAGGCCATCTTCAGTCTCAGGTTGGGGCTCTTAAGGTTCAGGAAAAAACAAATACTACATGGGTAACTTAAAAAAAGAAAACTAAAGGTCTCTATGTTTCATTTCTTACAATTCTGAGAGCTGTTTTAAAAGTAATGGATTGTATCGCTCCTATGTGCTACTTTCAAAAAATAAAGGGGTAGGAAATAGTCTTAGAGAGAAGATGATATATAGCAAGAATCCCATAACATTATTAAATGTAAATATAGTGGTATATATACACTATATAAGGTTTACATAGCAAATATGTACGGTGTATGTGTCTAATTATCTAGCAACCTCTCTATTACCCATCTATCTGTGGAGCCAGTATAGAGTCATGGTGGAGACCTTGGGCTCTGCAGTGGGACAGGGTGTGAACTCAGCTCTGTCCCATTTTTCTGTGTGTCCTTGGGAAAGCCTGCTAACTTATGTGTGCCTCATCTATTTTCTACTTTCTTATCTTTAAAATGAGAAAATCGTTCGCTACCTCATGTAGTGGTAGTGGTGAATTAAACTCGAGGGAGGAGGCAGAGGTTGCAGTGAGCCAAGATTACGCCACGGCACTACAGCCTGGGCGATGGAGTGAGACTCTGTCTCAAAAGAAAAAGTAAAAGGAAAGAAAGTAACCCAAAGGAGAGCTCTGGAAGGGGTATGATCTGGTATAACCTTTTCTGGACTCTAGTTCAACATGTAACAGTTCAACGTGTAACAAAGATAGGAAAAATAAAACACTGGTTTTGTACCTTGTTCCAAGGCAAACTAAAATCTGGAATTTGCCATCCTTCCCAATGTTCCTGGGTGCAGTATTAATAGCATTTACATAGTGGCAGAAAGTTTTACAGGATGATTTCTGAATAAGGACATCATCTTCATTATCTAGAATCTGGTCAGTTGTTTCAAAATAAGCAACCACTTTCTCTGAGGAAAAAAGTCAGAATTACATCACAATATATGTCAACACTTCATATATAGAAAGATTCATCACTTAATTTATTATGGAAACACTAATGATGCTTTGCATACAGTCAGTGCTGAAGCCAATATCATTACTTTATCATTGATTTCAGGGGTCCATGTTTCATGGTAGAACAATAAATACGTTCCCAGGAATTTCTTTTCTTTTTCTTTTTTTTTTTTTTTTTGAGACGGAATCTCGCTCTGTCGCCAAAGCTGGAGTGCAGTGGCCTGATCTCAGCTCACTGCAAGCTCTGCCTCCCGGGTTTACGCCATTCTCCTGCCTCAGCCTCCTGAGTAGCTGGGACTACAGGCGCCCGCCACCTTGCCTGGCTAGTTTTTTGTATTTTTTAGTAGAGACGGGGTTTCACCGTGTTAGCCAGGATGGTCTCGATCTCCTGACCTCATGATCCGCCCATCTCGGCCTCCCTAAGTGCTGGGATTACAGGCTTGAGCCACCGCGCCCAGCCAGGAATTTATTTTCTAATCTAGACTGCATTCCAGAAGACTATAAAGTTTACTCCCTTTAAAATACTTTCATGAAACAGAAACTGGCAAAAAAGAAAAGAAAAATAGCATCTTCTGTTGAGACTGGAACCTTCTAGGAGTAACCAGCAATGACGTGGTAGCCACTGAAATAATACCCCCTGTGTTCTACTTACAGAATGACTTGCTAACACTTTGCAACAAGACCCTTGAAATGTACCTGAATAAGTATCTGACAAAGACAGACATATGTATATACACAAGAAGCAGAAGCAGTAAGATTCTAGGCATTCCAGAAGAAAAAAAACCTGTGGGCCTATTTCTATCAACTTTCCTTTTTTTTTGTCTATTCTAAGTTAGAGGAAATAAACTACTTCATCTAGGCCTTATTTAGAAAACACAAAATGATTAATTGCCCATTTAAAGAAACTATGAATTCTGGAAGAGCTGCATACCAAAAGAAAGATTACAAAGTTTAGCAAGCTAGAGCAGAAACACTCCAAAAGAGCTTTCTGTGATTATGAAAATGTTCTCCATCTACAAGGTCCAATTTGGTAGCCACGTGTGGCTACTGAGCACTTGAAATGTGGCCAGTGTTATTAAGAAAATGAAATTTACATTTGATTTAAATTAAATACATTTGGCCACGCGTGGTGGCTCACACCTGTAATCCCAGCACTTTGGGAGGCCAAGGCGGGCAGATCACCTGAGGTTAGGAGTTCGAGACCAGCCTAGCCAGCATGGTGAAACCCCGTCTCTACTAAAAATACAAAAATTAGCTGGGCGTGGTGGCAGGCACCTGTAATCCCAGCTACTTGGGCTGAGGCAGGAGAATTGCTTGAACCTAGGAGGCAGAGGTTGCGGTGAGCCAAGATCACACCATTGCACTCCAGCCTGGGCAACAGAGTGAGACTCTGTCTAAAACAAACAAAAAAATTAAATAGATTTAAAATTTAAACGGCTATGTGTGGCTAATGGTTACTATACTGGACAACACAGAGCTAGAGAAATCCTTTTACAAAAACTGGCCAGGTGCAGTGCTCATACCTGTAATCCCAGCACCTTGGGAGGCCGACCTGGGTGGATCACTTGAGAACAGAATTTGGGACCAGCGTGGCCAACATGGCAAAATCCCGTCTCTACTAAAAATACAAAAATTAGGGGTGTGGTGGCAGGCACCTGTAATCCCAACTACTCAGTGACTGAGGCAGGAGAATCGCTTGAACCCAGGAGGCAGAGGTTGCAGTGAGCTGAGATGGGGCCACTGCACTCCAGCCTGGGCAGCAGAGTGAAACTCCATCTCAAACAAACAAAAAAGTTCTATCATGTCACTCCTTAGCTCAAAGCCTTCCAACAGCTTCCAATTTCATTCAGGATAAAGGCTGAGGTCATTCCAATCACCTAGAAGGCCCTACACAACCTGGCACTGACACTAAACACCACCTCCCCGAGTCTCCTACTCTCTCTCTCTCGCTGTGCTCCAGTCACACTGGTCTTGGAGTTCCATGGAAACACTTCCGCCTTGGGGCTTAGCACTCGTAGTGCTGTCAACCTGGAGTCCCTCTTCCCAGATATCTACATGGCTTACTTCCTCACCTACATGAAGTCTATGCTCCAATATACCTTGACATTCAGCACAGTCTAAAACCACCCATTAAAAAGACCACCCGTTTAAATCCCCACTTTATTTCCTTTTATACTGCTCTATTTCTTTCCAGATCAATGGTCACATTTCTGACATACCATATGAATTACATTATTTGTTATGTTTTTGTGTATTGTTTGCTTCCCACACTAACCTAAGTTTGTCAACCACAGGGATTTCTGTTTTGTTTATTAATGTATATCTTGAGCAACTCGAATAATATTTGGAATATTGTACATATTATAATTTGTTGAGTGAATGAAAAACAAAGACAGTACTTGATATTTATTATTATTATATATACTTTTTGAGACAGGGTCTCACTCTGTTGCCCAGGCTGGAGTGCAGTGGCTTGATCATGGCTGACTGCAGCCTTCACCTCCTGGGCTCCTGGGCTCAAGTGATGCTGCTGCCTCAGGTTCTCAGGTAGCTGGAACCACAGGTGTTTGCTAGCACACTCAGCTAATTTAATATTTATTTAAAAATATATATATACCTTTGCCAGGCACGGTGGCTCATTCCTGTAATCCCAGCACTTTGGGAGGCTGAGGCGGGTGGATCACGAGGTCAGGAGTTCAAGACCAGCCTGGCCAATATGGTAAAACCCCTTCTCTAGTAAAAATACGAAAATTAGTTGGGCATGGTGGTGCACACCTGTAGTCCCAGCTGCCTGGGAGGCTGAGGCAGGAGAATCGTTTGAACCCAGGAGAAGGAGGGTTGCAGTGAGCCAGGATTATGCCACTGCACTCCAGCTTGGGCAACAGAGTAAGACTCCGTCTCAAAAAAAGAAAAAAATATATATATACCCTTATCACTAACCCTTATTCACTCAGATTCCTGGGTCTGTGAGTTCCTAAGAAACACTTCAGTGACCTTAAAGTATATACATCTGCTTTATTTACCTATGAAGTCCCAGATGAAGACATTCTTGTGAAAGATGCGGGCAGATTTGAACCCATGGTGGAAAACCTGCTCAAGGGCTGCAACCAGGCCATTTTCTCCACATAGCAACACGGTGAGGCTTCCTCTCTGTGGGGCATAACACACAGTGTCAAAGAAAAATCTCCTGCATCTATGTCTAAGAAAAACACTAGAGAAGCAAGTGCTGAATGTAGCTATATGAAGCATATTTTTACAGCTACCAGAAAGCTTACAAATGAAAATTCAAGCACCCCATATTGCCTTGTGTATCACATATAAAAGCATCTTTAAAAGTCCCACTATACTAAGTTTTATAGCCCATAAATACCTCTTTTTCAGGTTTATGAAAATGTTTCACAATATTATTCACAGCTTCTCCAATTCCTTCTTGGATCTGCCCAGCATTGGGTTCTGTAAAATAATAAACAGTGGCTGCATTCTCATGGGAGATAAATAAACCAAAGTACTATGGGACATCAACTGTGTCCACCTAGGCAGGAAGTACATCACCAGAGCAGGCTGGCTTTGCCAGGGGCTCTATAGAACTTGCCTCTGGCCAGTTTGGCCAAGTGGGAGGCATCCTGGCAAAATGGAAAATAATCCAAGAGATCCCTAGATTCAAATCCCAGCATAACCATCTGCAATCTATAACCCTAGCCTAGTGTCTAACTTCCTCTGAGTTTTCAGTTTCCTCAACTGAAAATAGGGAAAACACACACCTCATTGGGAAAACTGGTAAGTTATAGGAGTAAACAACTTAGCATGGTGCCTGTCACAAAATGCAAGCAAGCCCCCAAATATGAGAAGCAAGGCTGGGAAGTCCCAGCATCACTCCTCAAATGTTCCCTTATGCTACGTACCTATGAGCCCGTTAGTGAGCATAGACTAAGGCTTGAGGCGCTCTGGATAGCTAACCTGGAGTTTGAAGATTTGTTATTGTGTTTAAAATAAGGGGAAAATGCCAGGTACCCTGTGGCATCCAGGCCTGAAGCCCAGAACTCCCTCCCTTCCTGGCTAGTCAATCTGTCTCAGCACTGCTTCCTTCTGCCAGCCAGCACTTGCTCTTCTAGGCTACTTTCCTGAGGGATAGGTTGGTGGGCTGCTTGAATGGGACCTAAATCACTTTTGTCCACCAAATCTAAGGAATGGTTTGTTTTTTAAAAAAGGTGGTAAACATTTCAGAAGTAGGTAACAAGAGAAAAGGTATATAGTTTGGATTTTCTTGTAGTTCTAATTTACTTATCACACTATAAAGGAAAACCCATACATCCTCATGTTTAAGAATCTCTGAATTCATACTGCTGAAGGATTTCTTGCATAAACATTTCTTTCAGTGAAATTCAAGGTTTTTTCTACACTAATGCATAAAAATTGTTAAAATGAAAACCTCCTATAATTGAAGTACTGATACTACGACCTCTTGTTCCTAGTAGTTTCTTTACCCAGTAGCTTTTTGTTTTTTTACCTTTACCTTTCTCTATTTCTTCTTTTAGACATCAAGTCTATTTTGAAACCTGTCACCCATTCCAAAAGAGCCTTGATCAATATTATTTTAAAACTGACTTAAAAAATTTTCAGTTCTCTGAATACCATCTTACATATAACATACTGTGAGAAAATACCATTATCCATTTCTGAGTCTTGGGTCATTCAGACTTTTCTGCTTATAGAGTGAGAAAAGAAAGTATGATAAAAAAAAATGGGGGATAAAAGCCTTTCAAATAATACCCCCATAAAATTGGACTGACTCAGCTGTTATAATAATTTGGATGGATTGAGCTGAAACCTACTTTTAAATTTTAAATCAGCATAATTAAAATTCACCATATACTAAAAGTCACCAATTTTGATGAGCTTTGACAAATGGACAGTCATGTAACCACCACCACAATCATGATATGGAACATTTCCATCATTCCTGAAAGTTACCCTGTGCTCTTTTCAGTTACCTTCCTTAGCTCCTAACTCCTGGCAACCACTGATCTGCTTTCTATTATTATATTGCTTTTATAGAGATCTGATATATAAACAGATACATATCACTATCTGTTTATCCTTTCACCAGTTGACGGATATTGGGATTGTTTCCATCTTTGGCTATTACGAATAAAGCTCTAAGAACATCTGCGTACAAGTCTGCGTAGATATATGTATTCATTTCTCTTGTGTACATATCTAGGAGTGAGATTGCTGGGCCAAGGGTATGGTAAGCGTACATGTATCTTTATAAATGCCAAGATGTTTTTTATTTTGTATTCCCACTAGCAATGCATGAGCTTTCTGTTACTCCACATCCTTACCAATATTTGTTGCTATAAGTGCTTTAAATTGGTTGGGCGCAGTGGCTCGCGCCTGCAATCACAGCACTCTGGCAGGCTGAGGCGGGAGGATCATCTGAGGTCACGAGTTCAAGACCAGCCTGGCCAACATGGTGAAACCCCATCCCTACCCAAAATACAAAATTAGCCTCTCGTGGCAGTGCATACCCGTAATCCCAGCTACTTGGGAGGCTGAGGCAGGAGAATCGCTTGAACCTGGGAAGCGGAGGTTGCAGTGAGATGAGACTGTACCACTGCACTCCAGCCCCGCCAACAAGAGCGAAACTCAGTCAAAAAACAAACAAACAAAAACAAAAACAAAAAAACTGCACACATGGTTAATACACAATCATGTGCTAGCAAATGGATAGAGACTAATAGAACCTAGGGAAACTACTTTGTTAATAAACTAAGGACCTATTAGGTACCTTTGTTATTCTACTTGTGGTTATAATCTATAGCTAAAAAGCCCCGTCACTGATAAACTTCTGTAACTTTTCCCTAAATACTGCCTCTATATTCATGTTCTGTGGCTGCCTTCTGTGGCTGCTGTAACAGACTCAAAAATTTGGTGGCTTAAGTGACAGAAATACATTTTATTGCAGTTCTGGGGGCCAGAAGTCAAAATTTAGTTATCACTGGGCAAAAGAAAAAAAAAAAAGCAAGGTGTCAGCAGGGCTGCATTCCCTTGAAATTCTAGGGGAAAATCCCTTCCTTGCCTCTTTTAGCTTCTGGTGGCTGTTGGCATTGTTTTTTTTTTTTTTTTGAGACGGAGTCTCGCTCTGTTGCCTAGGCTGTAGTGCATGTAGTGCAGTGGCCAGATCTCAGCTCACTGCAACCTCCACCTCCCAGATTTAAGCAATTCTCCTGTCTCAGCCTCCCGAGTAGCTAGGATTACAGGTGCACGCTACCATGTCCGGCTAATTTTTGTATTTTTAGTAGAGATGAGTCAGGCTGGCCTCAAACTCCTGACCTCAGGTGATCCAACTCAGCCTCCCAAAGTGCTGGCTGGGATTACAGGCGTGAGCCATAGCGCCCGGCCGGCATTCCTTGGTTTTTTTTTTTTTTTTAAGACATAGTCATGCTTGCTTCACATATACTTGCAGCACATATACTAAAAAATTGGAACAATACAAAGAAGATTATTAGCATGGCCCCTGCACAAGGATGACAAGCAAATTTGTGAAGCATTCCATATTTTCCTCAATACTTGAATATGGAACATACGCACAGGAGAAGGAAATAACATTGCACTTTATAAACACTGTATTGTAAGTGGAAAATGCAATGTCTTAAATAAAACTATTTAAAATTGGCACCAAAAAAAAAACCCAAAAAAAGACAAGAGTGTCACTCTGTCACTCAAGCTGGAATGCAGTGGCATGAGCTTGGCTCACTGCAACCTCTACCTCCTGGGTTAAAGCAATCCTCATGCCTCAGCCTCCTGAGTAGCTGGGATTACAGGCATGCACCACATGCCTGGTTAATGTTTTTTTTTTTTTTAGTAGAGACGGAGTTTTGCTATGTTGGCCTCAAACTCCTGACCTCAAGTGATCTGCCCACTTTGGCCTCCCAAAGTGTTGGGAAAGAATACATATGATTGCATTTAGGGTCCATGTAGGTGATCCAGGACAATCTCCTTATTTCAAGATCCCTATCACATCTGCAAAAATCCTTTTTCCAAATAAGGCAACATTTATAGATTCTAGAGGTTAGAATTTTACATTTTTGGGAGACATTATTTAGTCTATTAAAGCCTACATTAGTAATTTAGTCTATTAAAGCCTACATTAGTATAAATTAGGAAGTTTACTATATGCTAAAAATGGCATGTGAACATAGTATAATACTCATAAAATTAACTCCTTTATAGTATTTTGTTTCATCCCTACTATAGGAAGAAAATTGGAACAGAAGGGGTAGAAGGAAATTTTAATCTCTTAGAATAAGAGACACTGGGGCAGGCGCAGTGGCTCACGCCTCTAATCCCAGAACTTTCAGAGGCAAGGCGGGCAGATCTCAAGGTCAAGAGATTGAGACCAGCCTGGCCAACATGGGGAAACCCCGTCTCTATCAAAAATATAAAAAATTAGCCAGGTGTGGTGGCGGGCACCTGTGATCCCAGCTACTTGGGAGGCTGAGGCAGGAGAATTGTTTGAACCTGGGAGGCAGGGGTTGCAGAGAGCTGAGATCGCACCACTGCACTGCAGCCTGGGTGACAGAGCAAGACTCCTTAAAAAAAAAAAAAAAAAAAAAAAAAAAAAAGGCTAGATATGGCTATCTGGGAGTACTGTAACATACAACTATTATTATTTCTCCTTTAAGTTTCAGGCAAGGCCAGATGTGGTGGCACATGGCTGCAATGCCAGCACTTTGGGAGGCTGAGGCAGGCAGATTGCTTGAGCTCAGCAGTTCAAGACCAGCCTGGGCAACATGGCGAAAGGCAGTCTATAAAAAAAATACAAAAATTAGCCGGGTGTGATGAGGTGTGGCTATAGTCCCAGCTACTTGGAAAGCTGAGGTGGGAGGATCATTTGAACACAGGGGGCAGAGGCTGCAGTGAGCTGAGACTGTGCCACTGCATTCTAGCCTGGGTGACAGAGTGAAATCTTGTCTCAAAAAATAAAAGTTTCAGGTAAAATATTTACTTATATTTCCACAGCTTAATAAAAACAGAGCATGCAGGTTTTCTAAAAAGATAGATTTTAACTCTAAACTCTTCCAGCTTTTGAATATTTATGAATTTTCCTCAACTTTCAAATTCTTTTTTAAATCTCCTCACTACATTCATTAACACAACTGTTTTCTATCAAATGGTCACATGAAGCCTACATCATATGAGCACATAGGAAAAATTTAAATATACTTACTGTTGTTTTTTCCTGTCAGTGAAGTGATGCTCAATCTCCTAGCCGTGGTGGGTGACTTCTGCTGGGGTGGAGTCCGACACTGCTTTACTAGATCATCATCTGATGCTGATGTCATCAATTCTCCAATAAGAATTCTCTCCAGGCTCCCATCATCAATGCCTTTCCCCAGCCACCGTCCACATGGGAATCTGGTAGGACAGAGAACAAATTTTTTATTTTTATTTTTTTTTTGAGACAGGGTTCTTGTTCAGCCCCCTGAGTAGCTGGGACTACAGGTGTGCACCAACACACCTGGCTAACTTTTGTGTTTTTCGTAGAGAGAAGGTCTCATTACATTGCCTATGCTGGTCTTGAACTCCTGGCCTCAAGTGATCCTTCCATCTCAGTTTCCCAAAGTGTGGGGAGGATTACACAGGTGTGAGCCATTGCACCCGGTCAGAGTATTTTCAAACTAGAAATTAATTTGGGAGTTAAGGCACAGAAGAAAAGAGGACAATGTTTCCACAGAGTAGTATTGGCTGTGATTAGTGGAATCCAAGAGATCTTTTCCTCCTACTGAAATTATTTTAGGCTCTTTTTGATTTTCTTTTATTCTGAGAGTTATATTAATCTTTCCAACATTTGTGGACTAAGCAATAGCAGCAAACATCTGTTGTTTTAAAGTTTTTTGAGGCTGGGCATGGTGGCTCATGCCTGTAATCCCAGCACTTTGGGAGGCCAAGGCGGGTGGATCACTTGAGGTTGAGACCAGCCTGGCCAATACAGCGAAACTCCTATCTCTACTAAAAATACAGAAATTAGCCGGGTATGGTGGCGGGTACCTGTAACCCCAGCTACTTGGGAGGCTGAAGCACGAGAATTGCTTGAACCTGGGAGGCAGAGGTTGCAGTGAGCCGAGATAGTGCCACTGCACTCCAGCCTGGGCAACAAGAGTGAAACTCTGTCTCAAAAAAAAAAAAAAAAGAAAAAAAAAAGAAAAGAAAAAGAAAAAAAAGTTTTTTGGGGGGCAATTTTGTATGACATAAACAAAAAAAAATTGTCCCCCTCCCCTGGAAAAAAAAAAAACCCTAAAATTCAGAAGGCAGCAGAAGAACTCAAACGATCTTTTTTTTGAGATAGAGTTTCACCTTGTTGCCCAGGCTGGAGTGCAATGGAGCAATCTCGGTTCACTGCAATCTCCGCCTCCTGGGTTTGAGCGACTCTCCTGCCTCAACCTCCCAAGTATCTGGGATTACAGGCATACGCCACCATGCCCCACTAATTTTTTTTATTTAGTAGAGATGAGGTTTCACCATGTTCGTGAGGCTGGTCTCAAACTCCTCACCTCAGGTGATCCACCCGTCTTGGCCTCTCAAAGTGCTGGGATTACAGGTGTGAGCCACCGTGCCCAGCCTACAATTCTTAAACTTTTTCTTATCTGAAGAGTCTTAAAACAAAGAATTCTGAGTTCCCAAGGCCATTTACTTACCTGTATGTATGTCCTGTGATTTCATTTCTGACCATGACACAATCCACTAGCCATTTGGCTAACAGTCCAGAGTTATCGTGACCAATCTGAACAGTGGTCAGCTTCCCCAAGTTCTGGCACTGTAGGGACAGGACTTTAGGTTATTTAGTACTCAATCCCATCCTGTTACATCTCAGCTTTACAGGTACTTTGGTTCCGTCTAATTTAACAACTGCATAGACAAACCCTGAATAATGTATTCAGCTATGCACTAGAGAAATATATTCACATGTATTCCTTGCTCTCAGAGAACTCCCACATAATGAGATAGGAGACATATGGACATTAACTACCAAATGAGGGGGACTGCACACAGTGCTAGATTAGAGATATAAAAAGTGCTAGAAGAACGCTGGGGAAGGAACAGTTACTTCTACTTGGGGAACCCACAAACAACACTGACACAGTGACTTGTGCCTTGAAGGATGAGAAGAATTTCAAAAAACAGGAAAAAGATGCTATTTAGATTTAGTTACAGAGAGGCCAAGAAAACAATTATAGGTTTTAAAAATCACTGATTTTTTTTTTTTTGAGACAGAGTCTCGCTCTATTGCCCAGGCTGGAGTGCAGTGGCTAGATCTCAGCTCACTGCAAGCTCCGCCTCCTGGGTTTACGCCATTCTCCTGCCTCAGCCTCCCGAGTAGCTGGGACTACAGGTGCCCGCCACCTCGCCCGGCTAGTTTTTTTTTGTATTTTTTAGTAGAGACGGGTTTCACTGTGTTAGCCAGGATGGTCTCAATCTCCTGACCTTGTGATCTGCCCGTCTCGGACTCCCAAAGTGCTGGGATTACAGGCTTGAGTCACCGCGCCCAGCCAATATTCTTTCTTTAAAAAAAATTTTTTTTGTGTGGGTACACAGTAGGTATATATATTTATAGGGTACATGAGATGTTGACATTTTTCTGTTCCAATAAGATACTCAGGCAGAACTGACCTCAGACCTCATATACTAGAAGTCTTCGAAGCTATTTTTTAACAGGCATAGCTATCAGTAAGTTATCTTCACTGGCCCTTTGTGGACAAGTACAAAATAAAGCAATGATAATAGGAATAGTAAAAATGAATACTAATTAAATTCTGACTTCTAAAATCTGATAATGAAAAGATCACTGACCCCAACTATGTGCTGGATGAGAACATCAGAATTATAAGTTCTTTTTTTGGTTAATTTTAATTTTTAATTTTTATGGGTACCTAGTAGATGTGTATATTTATGGATTAATTGAGATATTTTGATATAGGCATGCAATGCCTAATAACTGTATCAGGGTAAATGGGGTATCTGTCACCTCAAACATTTATCATTTGTGTGACAATCCAATTATGCTCTTTTAAGTTATTTTAAAATGTACAGTTAAATTATTTTTGACTATAGTCACCCTGTTGTGCTAGTGAATACTAGGTCTTATTCACTCTATTTTTTTGTATCCATTAGAGCTACGAGTTTTTTTTTTTTTTTTTTTGAGATGGAGTTTCACTCTCATTGCCCAGGCTGGAGTGCAATGGCGCAATCTCAGCTAACCACAACCTTTGCCTCCCGGGTTCAAGCGATTCTCCTGCCTGAGCCTCCTGAGTAGCTGGGATTGCAGGCATGTGCCACCATGCCCGGCTAATTTTTGTGTTTTTAGTAGAGATGGGGTTTCTCCATGTTGGTCAGGCTGGCCTCGAACTCCCGACCTCAGGTGATCTGCCCTCCTTGGCCTCCCAAAGTGCTGGGATTATAGGCGTGAGTCACTGTGCCTGGCCAGAGCTACGAGTTCTTAAAGCACTTTTTTCTTTGTAGCTCAGTGAGAAGGTATCACCATACTCTAGCTTAGGGATGATGGCATCTTGAATTAGTTGTACTGTAGAGATGGAAAGAAGTAGGTAGACATGACAGAGACAGCTTAGAAATGGCAATGATGGGGTTTTTTAACGTAGTTCCATTATTGGTAGATGAAGAAAAGCCAAGGGTTTTAATATTTTATATACAGGTGGCTTTGAGTCTACTGCATGGATAAGGCCAAACTGGGCTCCTGGGGCAGGGGGGTGGTATCATGACTCTAAGTGGAAACTGCTATTTCGAGACCCCAAGGAACATGAGAATGGGACATTCAGTTAGTACCATTTCCTTCCTCAAACACAACAGTTATTTGTCCTCTTCCTCCACCAAGATCAACCTGTGTACAGGCTTAACCACATGGAACTATCTCACCAAGTAAGACCTGGAAATTGACTACAATATTAAAAGGTTGTTTATTTTGTTTTTTGAGACAGAGTCTCACTCTGTCATCCAGGCTGGAGTGCAGTGACACAATCTTGGCTCACTACAACCTCTGTCTCCTGGGCTCAAGTGACCTCAGCCTTGCAAGTACCTGGACTACAGGTGCATGCCACCATGCCCAGCTAATTTTTGTATTTTCTGTAGAGATGGGGTCTCACTATGTTGCCCAGGCTGGTTGTCTCAAAGTCCAGGGCTCAAGCAATCTGCTTGCCTTGGTCTCCCAAAGTGTTGAGATTATAGGCATGACTCACTGCGCCTGGCCAAAAGGCATTTTTATAGAATCACTCTATAAATGTCACCATGTGGTCTAAAATCTGTAAGTAGACGCTTGAACCCAAGAGGTGGGGGTTGCAATGAGTGGAGATCACACCACTGCACTCCAGCCTGAGCGAAAGAGCAAGACTCTGTCTCAAAAAAATAAAAATAAAAATAAATAAAAAATAAAAAATAATAAAATAAAATCCATAAGCGTGAATATCAGCTCTCCTGTCCTTTTGCCAAAGGATGACCAGGTTTGGGCAGAAAGCATTTTACAGTAGGGAAGAGAACCACTGTGGGGAAAACATTTATTTGAACATTTCTTGCTTGCTAGGATCTGTGCTAGGCCCTGAAAATAATGGGAGAAGACCTGGAAAGCCTCAAAGCACACCACTACAAGTGAAAAATAGAGCTTAACAATGAAAATGTAAAACAAACAAATTAGTATAAGCTGCTTAAGACAACTTTTGACATATAATCACAAAAATGATCCTGCACGCTTTGAATGTTCCTCTGTTTTGATTCAAGGAAAAATGAAAAAGCCAGACAGAATCCATCTGTAAAACTACACGTGATACATTCTGCTAGGAAAGGTGTTAGCTGAACCTACCTCAAAGGTCATTTCGAGGAGGTTTTTGGGAATCTGCATTACTCCTGTGTCTCCTAGCTCTCCTGATACACAGATCCAAGGGTTTGATGTGATTATTGCATTGCTCAGCTTTTTGATTGGGATGATCACTGACCTATATGGAATCACTGAAAGAAAAATGCAGAAATTAATAAAAAAGTGGGAATAAAATTCTCCTTATAACAATATATTAAGAACTCTATTGGTTTTCATTGATAATTTGCTTTTTATGATCTATCAAGATGTACTTACATGAAAAGTTGATATCAAAACCTTTCAGTCTAGAAAGATGAGATCTAGTTTGCAAACCAGAAGTTTCAATACTTGCAGCAATGGTTTTCACAGCATGTGTATCATCATGTATGTATGATGCATATATCACCATTAAATGTATGAACAATCTCAAGCATTAGTACCAGAATACCTAAAGATATGAACACTGACTGTGTATATTGTGTTTTCATTGCTTAAATTTTCTTAAAAACTAATTTTGTACCAAAATTGAGTAGAAATGAACATGATTATTGACATGGTTTTATATAAAAAGAGGGGTGGATGACTTTTTGGACAGTACTGTTTCTTGGGCAATGCTTTAAAGCGCTGCATTTCAGAACTTTCCCGTCCCAAGTTTACAGAACAATATGCAAAAACCACAAATAATAAACAATGGCACCTCCACTCTGGACATACCGTGAAGTCTATAAACCACAACTTGGAAAGCTATTAAGGTGACTCAGGTGCAAGAGGAGCCCGGGGAGGCTCTTCCACAGACACACCACTAGATGTCACTGCCCTATTACCGTCCTTTGCTCAAATGTGGAAGCACGAGAGGTCAGACGTTACGCATGTCCTCCCTTCTTTTTTTTTTTTTTTTTTTTTTTTCAGACAGTCTCGCTCTTGTTGCCCAGGCTGGAGTGCAATGGTGCGATCTGGGCTCACTGCAACCTCTGCCTCCCAGGTTCAAGTGATTCTCCTCACTCAGCCTCTTGAGTTAGCTGGGATTACAGGCGCCTGCCACCACACCCGGCTAAATTTTGTACTGTTAGTAGAGAGATGGGGTTTCATCATGTTGGCCAGGATGGTCTCCAACTCCTAACTTCAGGTGAGCCACTGTGCCCATCCCTCCCTTCTCTTTTTAAAAAATGGGAACAGGGCCGGGCATGGTGGCTCAGGACTGTAATCACAGCACTTTGGACGGTAAAGGCAGGTGAATCACTTGATGTCAGGAGTTCGAGACTAGCCTGGCCATCATGGTGAAACCCTATCTCTACTAAAAATATGAAAAAAAAATTAGCTGGGTGTCGTGGTGTGCACCTGTAATCCCAGCTACTTGGGAGGCTGAGGCAGGAGAATCGCTTGAACCTGGGAGGCAGAGGTTGCGGTGAGCCGAGACTGCACTACTGCACTCCAGCCTGGGCAACAGAGTGAGACTCTGTCTCAAAAAAAAAAAAAAAAGAAAATGGCTGGGTGTGGTGGTTCACGCCTGTAATCCCAGCACTTTGGGAGGCCAAGGTGGGTAGATCACAAGGTCATGAGTTCGAGACCAGCCTGATCAACATGGTGAAACCCCGTCTCTACTAAAAATACAAAAATTAGCCAGGTGTGGTGGCACACACCTGTAATCCCAACTACTCAGGAGGCTGAGGCAGGAGAATCGCTTGAACCCAGGAGGCAGAGGTTGCAGTGAACCGAGATCACGCCATTGCACTCCAGCCTAGGCAACAGGAGTGAAACTCCATCTCAAAAAAAAAAAAAAAAAAAAAAAAAAAAAAAAATTGGGGACGGGCCAGGCACGGGAGCTCATGTCTGTTATCCTACCTAGCAACTTGGGAGGCTGAGGTGGGCAGATCACTTGTGCTCAGGAGTTCAAGATCAGCCTGGGCAACAAAGTGAGACCTTGTCTCTATAAAAAATAAAAAAAAATAATTAGCCAGGCCTGGTGGTACACACTTGTAGTCCCAGCTACTCAGGAGGATGGGGGCGGGGAATCCCTTGAGCCAGGGAGGTCAAGGATGCAGTGAACTCTGATCCCACTACTGCACTCCAGTCTGGGCAACAGAGTAAGACCCTGTCTCAAAACAAAAAGGGGGGAGATGGCTTAAGCACATAAGCATTTTTGTCCATCACAGCCATACATTTCTGGTTTTTTGTTTGTTGGTTTTCTGGAGACAGGATTTAGCTCTGTCACCCGGTCTGAAGTGCAGCAGCCCAATCAGCGTTTACTGCAGCACTGACCCCTGGGGCTCATCCACCTCAGCCTCCCCAGTAGCTGGGACTATAGGTGCATGCTACCACACCTGGCTAACTTTATTTATCTATTTAGAGATAGAGTTTCGCTCTTGTCGCCCCGGCTGGAGTGTAGTGGCATGTTCTTGGCTCACTGCAACCTCTGCCTCCTGGATTCAAGTGATTCTCCAGCCTCAGCCTCCCAAGTAGCTGGGATTACAGGCGTCTGCCACCTTGCCCGGCTAATTTTTGTATTTTTAGTAGAGAAGGGGTTTCGCATAGCCGGCCCCTAGCTAACTTTTTAATTGTTCTTTTGTTGAGACAGGGTCTCATTATTTTACCCAAGCTGGTCTCGAACGGGACTCAAGTGATCCTCTTGCCTTGGCCTCTCAAAGCGCTGGGATTCCAGGCATGAGCCACTGCACCTGGCCTGTTTTGAAATTTTGAAATTTTTTTTGAGACAGGGTCTTGCTCTGTCACTCAGGGTATAGTGGCACGATCTCAGCTTACTGCAATCTCCATCTCCTAGGCTCAAGTGATCCTCCCACCTTAGCCTCTCAAGTAGCTGGGACGAGAGGTGTGCACCACTACGCCCAGCTATTTTTTTGTAGTTTTAGTAGAGACAGGGTTTTGTCATGTTGCCCAGGCTGGTCTCAAACTCCTAAGCTCAAGAGATCTGCCCACCTTGGCCTCCCAAAGTGTTAAGATTACAGGCATGAGCCACCTGCCATGTATTTATGTATGTATGTGTGCATGTATTTATTTTTGAGACAGAGTTTCACTCTATCTCCCAGGCTGGAGTGCAGTGGTACAATCTCGGCTCACTGCAACCTCTGCCACCCGGGTTCAAGCAATTCTCCTGTCTCAGTCTCCAAAGAAGATGGGAATACAGGGACCTGCCACCGTGCCTAATTTTTGTACTTTTAGTAGAGGCGGGGTTTTATAATCTTGGCCAGGCTGGTCTTGAACTCCTGACCACGTGATCTACCAACCAATGCCTCCCAAAGTGCTGGGATTACAGGTGTGAGCCACCGCACCCGGTCACTATTTATTTATTTTTTGAGAAGGAGTCTTGCTGTCATGCCCAGGCTTGAGTGCAGTGGGGCGATTTCAGCTTACTGCAACCTCTGCCTCCCAGGTTCAAGCAATTCTCCTACCTCAGTCTCTGGAGTAGCTGGGATTACAGGCATGCGCCCAAAACGCCCAGCTAATTTTTGTACTTTTAGTAGAGACAAGGTTTCCCCATGTTGGCCAGGCTGGTCTCGACCTCCTGACCTCAGGTGATCCACCGCCTCGGCCTCCCAAAGTGCTAGGATTACAGGTGTGGGCCACCATGCCCAGCCATTTTGTTTGTTTGTTTGTTTAAACTAGGGTAGAATCAATATTTTTTGTTATCCTTGGGATTTCTGCCCATTTGATCATAAGCGGGGGTGTTAGAAGCCCTCCTTGAAAGATCTACAAGTAGGATGAAAAACATTTACTGAAGAAGATGCCTAGATACAGCCTCACAGTATGAGCTCATGGTTCAGTGCACTCTTAGATGAGGAAAACAAATGAAATAAATGGTTCATTTCCCTAATTTTACATAAAATACTTTATGTTAGGTGAATAGTCTCCCTTTGTGTCCTTTTATTTTGCTTTAGGATAGGAAAATGTCAGAGAAAAGGCCATACTTTCATGGTTTAGTAATCATCAGAGTCAAATGGGTTTTGAAACTGAAAGCAGAAGAGGTTAGCGTAAGACTTTATTTTAGGTGCCAGAGGCTTCTCTCATTTATTGCATTGATAGGATAAGAAAATCTGCAGAAAAAAGGCATGTTTAGGGTCAGCAGTTCTGTGGCTGCAAAAGGCCCACAGATGCACAACGGTGATTTCATAGTTCAAGTATGAAAAAGCAACATGATTAAAAATTTCTTTCATGAAGAATTCCTCAAACTGAGAGTTACTCAGATGAAGAGACATCTACAGATATAAGAAGGATCTTAGGACTCCTCTACTGCTATTTCTTCTTATTTATTTAGAGACAGAGTCTCACCCTGTTACCCAGGCGTGATCTTGGCTCACTGCCACCTCTGCCTCTCGGGTTCAAGTGATTCTCCCACATCAGCCTCCCGAGTAGCTGGGACTACAAGCATGTGCCACCATGTCTGGCTAATTTTTATATTTTTTGGTAGAGATGAGGTTTCACCATGTTGACCAGGTCAGTCTCGAACTCCTGACCTCTCACGTTATCCACCGCCTTGGCCTCCCAAAGTGCTGGGATTACAGGTGTGAGCCATTGTGCCTGGCCTCTTTGATTTTAAAACTGTATGTAACGTTTTAGTTTCTTATACCTGCAGTAACCTAATCAATGCCTTGACAGGCATTACAGGCTGGCCTAATCCCCATTCCAATTCCCTTTTCCTTTGTCTGCCATTACCAGAGACTGGAAAGCCAAAACCTACATAATTCTGGTCAGTGAAATGTTAGTGATATTTATTGAGATTTTTTGGAAAATTATGTCTTTCTAGCACAGATCCTGCCCCTCCTTGGCACTCTCTCCTTCCTGTTGGAAGGTATACTGAGAACAGCCATGTTGAAACCATGAGGTAACTAGCACACACAGAGCATGTCTAAGGGGAAAAAGACAATGAGCCTGGGTCCGTGACAGCACTGCCCACTGCCTACTTTGAGACCTTTATTATGTAAGTGAAATCATTAAGCTGTAAACCACTGGTTTTCAAGTTTCTGATACTTGCAGCTAAATGCAATTCCTAATTGATACAAGTAAAAATTCTCCAAAGTAAGGAAGAGGACCCACTGCAAATAAGAATTAGCAACGAAGGAAAGAATAAACACTATCATTCAGCTTTCTATAAAAAATACATCTCTTGGCCAGGCTCGGTGGTTCACGCCTGTAATCCTAGCACTTTGGGAGGCTGAGGCGGGTGGATCACCTGAGGTCAGAAGTTTGACCTGGCCAACATGGTGAAACCCTGTCTTCACTAAAAACACAAAAATTAGCCGGGCATGGTGACACATGCCTACATATAGTCTTGTGATTTGGGAGGCTAAGGCAGGAGAATCGCTTGATCCCAGGAGGTGGAGGTTGCACTCCAGCCTGGGTGACAGAGCCAGACACCATCTCAAAAAAACCAAAAACAACAACAAAATCTCCAGGTCAAGCGTGGTGGCTCATGCCTGTAATCGCAGCACTTTGGGAAGCTGAGGCAGGTGGGTCACTTGAGGTCAGGAGTTCAAGACCAGCCTGGCCAACATGGTGAAACCCCATCTCTACTAAAAATACAAAAATTAGCCAGGTGTGGTGGGGCGTGCCTGTAATTCCAGCTACTCAGGAGGCTGAGGCACAAGAATCCCTAGAACCCAGGAGGTGGAGGCTGCGGTGAGCTGAGATCATGCCACTGAATTCTAGCCTGGGTGACGGAGTGCGACTCTGTCTCAAAAAAAAAAAAAAAAAATCTCCAATCAGCATTTCCTTCCAAAGTCGAATGATGTCCAATTATATAAGTTTATTATTATCACACAGTTACTTTCAACTTATGTGTTAAGATATTGGAATATTTACTTAATAAAACATTCCGGCCGGGCGTGGTGGCTCACGCCTGTAATCCCAGCACTTTGGGAGGCCGAGGTGGGCGGATCACAAGGTCAGGAAATCGAGACCATGGTGAAACCCCGTCTCTACTAAAAATAGAAAAAATTAGCCGGGCGCAGGGGCGGGTGCCTGTAGTACCAGCTACTCGGGAGGCTGAGGCAGGAGAATGGCGTGAACCCGGGAGGCGGAGCTTGCAGTGAGCCGAGATTGCGCCACTGCACTCCAGCCTGGGCGACAGAGCGAGACTCCGTCTCAAAAAAAAAAAAATAAATAAATAAAACATTCCTTTTCACATCTGTTGTAGGTAACATTTCCTATCCAAGACTGGGTTTCTTGGGAAGCAATCTCTGAGTCAGAAATTAGCATGCACAATGCTGCTCCTGGGACCAACATGTGAGAAGGAAAGCAGGATTGGTTAAGCAAGATGTTAAGCTTCAACGCAGTCTCAATGAAGTTCTCATCTATCTAACCCCCATGGTGAGCTCCCGGACAGCTCTTTGTTCAGTCATGGGATGCTGGCTGGCACTGGCAGAAGGGATCATCTTGTGAGGTACTTTTCTTCAGTAAGGCATTCTCCACAGCCTGACAGTCAAGGGTTTCCTGTAGCACTCCTAGCATTTGGGGAATATCCTTTATTCCTAAACATAGATCTGGGGGGATGTCACAATGTCACATACACTATGGCATATCTTGCTTTAAAAAACATAAATGCTTTTATTCCATTAGCCACCTCAGTAACCCTTAACAGTCAATTCTCTAAACTTACTGATAGTAGTGAACACACTGGTGAAGCAGAAATAGTCCACAGCATTGAGAGAAAGAAGGTGGTAAAGAAACTGCTCTCTTTCTTCTTCACAACGTAGAAAAGCGTATCGCTTATAAAGCTTCCTAGGAAAGGGTAAGACAAGCACAAGACAGTAGTATCAAAGAAAAAAAAACAAGACAGTAGTATCATGTATTTTTCATTATGTCTTTTTTTTTTGTTTTAAGACAGAGTTTTTCTCTTTTTGCCCAGGCTGGAGTGCAATGATGCAATCTCAGCTCACTGCAACCTCCGCCTCCTGGGTTCAGGTGATTCTCCTGCCTCAGCCTCATGAGTAGCTGGGATTACAGACATGTGCCACTACGCCAGGCTAATTTTTGTATTTTTAGTAGGGATGGGGTTTCAACATGTTGGCCAGGCTGGTCTCAAACTCCTGACCTCTGGTGATCCATCTGCCTCTGCCTCCCAAAGTGCTGGGATTACCGGTGTGAGCCACTGGACCTGGTCATTTTTTTTTTCTTTTGTTTCTTTCCCATTATGTCTTCTTTTTTCCAAGATGGGGTCTCGCTATATTGCCCAGGCTGGTCTTGAACTCTTGGACTCAAGTGATCCTCCTGCCTCAGTCTCCCAAAATGTTGGGATTACAGGCATGAGCCACTGGGCCTGGCCCTCATTAAGCCTTGACTAAAAATAAATAGCTCCTCTTAGACAAACACCTTTAATCTTGAAAAAATAGATTCACATCTATTTCAATTCATAAAATGGATATATAAACAGTTAATAAAACATTTTTAACCTAAAGAGTAATTAAGAAAAAAATGCATCTATTTTATCAAACTAATAAAGACTTAAAAGTGATGACCAGTATTGACAAGGAAGAAATGAATGCCATTCTCACAGTTGGTGGGACTGAAAATTTCAGGAAAGCAATTCAGGTAACAATTATTTTAAACCAATCATACCCCTTGACTCATCAATTTCACTTTTAGGACTCAGTCCTAAAGATAGAGATGAAATGGGGCAAAGATTTCATTAAACAGCTACATTTAAGCACTTTCCCAAGTGTTTTATAGGTATTAATACATTTCATTCTCACTCTATGAGGTAAGTCTATCAGTGCCTTTCTTATTTTTTTGAGATGAGGTCTTGTTCTGTCACCGAGGTCATGGTAGTACAGCGCCGACTTAGTAACAGCTCACTGCAGCCTCCACCTCCTGGGCTTGAGTGTGCCTCCCACCTCAGCCTCCCAAGTTGCTGGGACCACAAGTGCATGCTACCACGCCCAGCTAATTTTTTATTTTTAGTAGAGATGGGGTCTCACTATATTGCCCAGGCTGGTCTTGAACTCCTAGGCTTAAGCAATCCTCCCACCTTGGCCTCTCAAAGTGTTGGGATTACAGGAGTGAGCCACCTGACCCAGCCTAGTGTCATTTTACAGATGGGGAAGAGATACAGGAAAGTTAAATATCTTGTCCAAGGTCATTCAAACACTAAATAGGGAAGGCAATATTTGAACACAAGCATTCAGACCTCAGAGTTTAAACTCTTGTGATATGGTGAAATGTTTATGGTACACTGTTAAGCTAATAAAAAGGATGATATTGAATTGCAAATACAGTATATCTTAGTAAGAGAACATGCATAGAAGTACAGAAGAAAATGTGAAATATTTAGTGTTCTTTATAAGCAGGATCGTAAGTGGTTATCATTTTCCTCTTTGTACTTTGGCCACTATGAGCATAAATCACTTTTTTTTTGGGGGGGGGACAGAGTTTCACTCTTATTGCCCAGGCTGGAGTGCAATGGCACAATCTCGGCTCACTGTAACCTCTCGTCTCCCAGGTTCAAGTGATTCTCCTGCCTCAGCCTCCCAAGTAGCTGGGATTACAGGCATGTGTCACCACGCCCGGCTAATTTTGTATTTGTAATAGAGATGGGGTTTCTCTATGTTGGTCAGGCTAGTCTTGAACTCCTGATCTCTGGTGATCCGCCCGCCTCAGCTTCCCAAAGTGCTAGGATTACAGCTGTGAGCCACCACACCCAGCCTGTTTTTTTTTTTTCTTTTTGAGACGGAGTCTTGCTCTGTTGCCAAGCTGCATGGAGTGCATTGGCGCGATCTCGGCTCACTGCAACCTCCGCCTTCGGGTTCAAGTGATTCTCCTGCCTCCCCTCCCGAGTAGCTGGGATTACAGGCGTGCGCCACCACACCCAGCTAATTTTTGTATTTTTAGTAGAGACGGGGTTTCACCATGTTGGCCAGGATGGTCTCGATTTTATGACCTCATGATCTGCCCACCTTGGCCTCCCAAAGTGCTGGGATTACAGATGTGAGCCACTGTGCCTGGCCAGTAACTTTTTATAATTGGAAAAAAAAAACACAAAACCATGCCAGTTTTAAGAAAACAAGGTCAGATTCGCAGGCTGTATGTGACACTTCATTCTTTATCAAATCTACTCTTTGGACATTAAGAATCATCTGAAAATGCTCCAGGGGGTATGTAATCCAAGTGTGATATGTACAAATACAAAACTACAAAAAGCACCGGGTTACTATGATGGGACTCTAATAGACTGTCATGTTTGAGGTCTTTGTTTAATTCTCTGCCTAACTTTGCTCCTGAGAAGTCAAAGTTCTTAGCCTTCAAATTAGCACTAATGTAAATATAAGCGCAATATATTTCATCCAAGATAGCTTTTTTTTTTTTTTTTTTTTTTTTTTTTTTTTTTTGGAGACAGGGTCTCGCTCTGTTGCCCAGGTTAGAGTGCAGTGGCACAACCTTGGCTCAAGTGATTCTCCTGAGTGTCTAAGTATCTAAGAGGCTTCTCCTGAGCCTCTAAGTAGCTGGGAATACAGGTGCATGCCACCATGCCCGACTAATTTTTGTATTTTTTTGTAGAGACAGGGTTCTGCCATGTTGGCTAGGCTGGTCTCAAACTCCTGACCTCAAGTGATCTGCCCACCTTGGCCTCCCAAAGTGTTGGGATTACAGGTGTGAGCCACTGCACTTGACCTCGAAGAGGGTTTCTTGATAGAGTAAACAGAAGAAATTAAAACGGTTAACAATTAATTGACATGTACTTGACTGGTTTCCTGGCTCTAAACCAGTGGTCCCCAACCTTTTTGGCACCAGGGACCGGTTTCATGGAAGATAATTTTCCCACGGCTGTCGCAGGGGCTGGGGAGGGGGAGGTGGATTCAGAATAAAATTGTTGCACCTCAGATCATCAGTCATTAGAGTCTCATAAGGAGCAGGCAACCTAGATCCCTCACATGCGCAGTTCGCAATAGGGTTTGTGCTCCTCTGAGAATCTAATGCTGCTGATCTGACAGGAGGTGGAGCTTAGGCGATAATGCTTGCTTGCCCTCGGCTCATCTCCTGCTGTGCAGCCCTGGTTCCTAACAGGCCACGGACCAGTACCGGTCCGTGGCCCAAGAGCTGGGAACCCTTGCTCTAAACTGCTGAATGCAAGGCTCTCAGAAGAAGCCCTTTACTGGGACCTCCTCACAGAACTTGATTATTTTTTTCTTTTTTTACTCCAGGTTTTATCTGTGTATTTTACAATATAACATAAGGTTTATATAAACTTAACCTATCTTTTGGATGTTACTGTCAGCTTGTATGAACTAGCTAGCTTTCTGCCTGATTCTGGCAGGGCTTTTTCTTTTTTTTTTTTTTGAGACAGTCTCGCACTGTCGCCCAGACTGGAGCGCAGTGACGCGATCTCGGCTCACTGCAACCTCCCACCTCCCAAGTTCAAGTGATTCTCCTGCCTCAGCCTCCTGAATAGCCATGACTACAGGTGTGCGCCACCATGCCCTGCTAATTTTTGTATTTTTTGTAGAGATGGGGTTTCACCATGTTACCCAAGCTGGTCTTGAATTCCTGGACTCAAGTGATCCGCCCACTTTGGCCTCCCAAAATGTTAGGATTACAGGCAACAGCCACCACACCCAACTGCAATCTGGCCTTTGGCTGTTATGTTTGGTGTGTCCTCCCTGAAACGATCAAGTATTACATCAAGACAGAGTTCTCAAAGCACATGCCTGTTAGATAAAGAAGAATGCACGTGCACAGGAAACAGCACTTCATACTGAAGAAGCCAGTCTGTCAGTTTACGCAACTTGCTTTGTATGCACAAGGGTATAGAAACAGAAATGTATCAAAGATGGTATCTTACTTGGTAAGTGGTTGGTTAGAAAGCAACTGCTTAAGATGCTGGGACAAGAGCTTCTTTTCTAGAGACAGTCTTATCCATGCCCGAGCTCGTCCAACATCAGTCTTGATCTCACTCATGTTTTGAATATGCCTAAAGAATAGTGGTAACAGCAAAGATGTAGATCTTAAGGATAATGCTGACTAGAAAAGAAGTAAAGAGTGAACAGTACTGGGCACAGAAAGGTTATTTTATACTTAAAGGGAGCAGTCGATAATATACAATTGATGTTGATTAAATCTTTGAAGGTTCCATCTGAATCATGAAGTTAGTCTCACATCATAATTGCCATTACAACACAAGCACACAGACAATGTCATAAGATAAAGCATTTAACACTCATTCACTCTTTCAGGCTTCATTATGTCCTTGTTGAAGAGTCATAGATACCTGTAAATAAATATTTCTGATTCTCAAAAAAAAGTAATGAAACAGGGTGAATACTTAAGTAGCTTTTCAAAGTAACTGTTCTATATCATAATTAAATATCAGCCACAACTTTAATCCACTGAATTACTTTTCAAGTTGCACTGGACAACATATGGAAAATATGAAATCTTACGTTCTATGGCATTAGAGAAAATAAGCCAGACTGCACTGATAATCTTTAATTGGCTAATTATTTAAAAATACAGGGTCTCGCTATGTTGCCCAGGATGGTCTCAATCTTTCGGTCTCAAGTGATCCTCTTCCCTCAGCCTCCCAAAGTGTATGACCCACTGCACTCGGATCTTATAATATTGCTTTAAACCCACACATTGTAAAGGTTGACTAAGTATTGTACCTAAAATATTTAAAAGATAAAAGCCTCTGCCTTCCTCATTCAATAAATCTGTGTTAGGTATCTTGATGTCTTCTAACGATTTCTTAACAGTAATTGCAAGTGATGATTCTCAGATCTGTATTTGCTTCAAACTAAGTCTACCTGATTGCAATTGTTCTGCCACATATCCTGCCATTATTTGCAGATTTTTTCTTCTGTATCGGTGGGCAGCAGGTATTTAAGGCAATTTAAAAAACTGAACAAAAGAAGCTATAAAATAGTTTAGGATGGGCACAATGGCTCATGTCTGTAATCCCAGCCCTTTGGGAGGCCAAGGCGGGAGAATCACTTGAGGCCAGGAGTTCAAGGTCAGCCTGGGCAATATTAGATCCCATCTTGGCCGGGTACAGTGGCTCACGCCTGTAATCCCAGCACTTTGGGAGGCCCAGGCGGGTGGATCACGAGGTCAGATCAAGATCATCCTGGCTAACATGGTAAAACCCTGTCTCTACTAAAAACACAAAAAATTTGCCAGGAATGGTGGCACATGCCTGTAGTCTCAGCTACTCAGGAGGCTGAGGGAGGAGAATTACTTGAACCTGGGAGGCGGAGGTTGCAGTGACCTGAGATCGTGACACTGCACTCCAGCCTGGACAACAGAGTGAGACTCCATCTCAAAAACAAAAAACAAAAAACAAACAAAAAAAACCCTGTCTCTAGTGAAAATCAAAAAAATTAGCTGGGCGTGGTGGCAGGTGCCTGTAATTCCAGTGACTTGGGAGGCTGAGGCAGAAGGATTGCTTGAGCCTGGGAAGTTGAGGCTGCAGAGAGTGGCGATTTCACCACCGAACTCCAGCCTGGGTGACAAAGCAAGACCCTGTTGCTAAAGTAAAATAAAATAAAAAAGTTTAGAGATGCTTTAAAACTCTTCTCAGCTGCATCTTCCATTTGAATTTAATGTCAGGAAACAATACAATGGTACAAAAATAAAATAAATGAAACCATAAAAATACTTTCTTCAGAATTACATAAGCCAAAAATACACATAGCCATAATTATTTGAGCAATTTAGTTAAAAGCCACAAAATACTTCAAAAAGTTATCACCACATGCTAACACATGTACTAATAACAAATACCTCATGTCCTGGATAAGAGAGACCCTGAGTGTTGGCAACATAACTCCTGACTCAGATTTTCTTCTTTCTGGTCCGAGGGCAACTATGTAGAAAAATATCAGCAAAATATTAGAAAAGTAAAAAATATACATGGTTCATACTAAATACTTTGAAACTGCTTTGATAAGAAAAAATTTTAAAAATTTATATCATCTAGCCCAAAATGTCAAAGAACAAATTTTAAAGAAAATAGGGTCTTGCTCTGTCACTGAGCTTGGAGTGCAGTGTGCAGTGGTGTGATTGTGGCTCACTGCAGCCTCGACCTCCTGGGCTCCAGCAATCCTCCCAACGTAGCCCTGTCCAGAGTACCTGGGATTACAGGTGTGCACCACCACACATGGCTCATTTTAAAAATTTTTTGTAGAGACGGGGTCTTCCTATGTCTGGGCTATTTTATTAACACAGTAAATCAGCTATTTTCTTCTCTTTTCTTTTTTTTTTTTTTTTTGAGATGGAGTTTTGCTCTTGTTGCCTAGGCTGGAGTGCAATGGTGCGATCTCAGCTCACCGCAACCTCCACCTCCGTGTCCAAGTGATTCTCCCATCTCAGTCTCTCGAGTAGCTGGGATTATAGGCATGCACTACCATACCTGGCTATTTTTTTGTATTTTTAGGACAGACAGGGTTTCTCCATGTTGGTCAGGCTGGTCTCAAACTCCCAATCTGAGGTGATCCGCCTGCCTCGGCCTCCCAAAGTGCTGGAATTACAGACGTGAGCCACTGTGCCCAGACCCAGCTATTTTCTTTCTATGTAATCTGGAACTGCTTTTGGAAATTTTAAACGAATCACAAAAGACCACCTAGCAAACGATGCAATGCATACAAATTCTGGCCATAAGGACCAGGCACTTTTTTTTTTTTTTTTTAAAACATAGTCTTGCTCTTGCCCAGGCTGAAGTGCAGTGGTGTGATCTTGGCTCACTGCAACCTCTGCCTCCTTGGTTCAAGCAATTCTCATGCCTCAGCCTCCCGAGCAGCTGGGACTACAGGCGTGCGCCACCACGCCCAGCTAATTTTTGTATTTTTTAGTAGAGACGTAGTTTCACCATGTTGACCAGCTGGTCTTGAACTCCTGAACTCAAGTGATCCGCCCGCCTTGGTCTCCCAAAGTGCTGGGAATACAGGTGTTAGCCACCATGCCTGGCCAGTTACTTTCTAGTTACTCATTCTAATAGCTCTAGATGATTACATGAAAGCAATGTATATAAATTAAGCTACTAAAAATGTGAAACATCTCTGGGCTCATGAATTGAAGTCACACAATTAAACTCTTGAAGAGTGAAAAAAAATCCTGTGTGCTCAGTCCTGGAATCCCAACACTTTGGGAGGCCAAGGCAGGAGGATTACTTGAGCCCACGACTTCAAGACCAGCCTGGGAAACATAGAAAGACCCCGGTTTTGCAAATAATTATATGGGTTTGGACAATGGGAAGCTAAATATATATATATGTCTTTTTTTCAATTAGCTTTTTTTTTTTTAATAGCTGAGCATGGTGGTGTTCACCTGTAGTACCAGTTGCTTGGGAGGCTGAGGTGGGAGGATCACCTGAGCTTACCACTGCACTCCAGCCTGGGCAACAGAAGGAGATTGTCTCTTGAAAAAAAAAAAAAAAAAAAAAGAGGCCGGGCACAGTGGCTCACGCCTGTAATCCCAACACTTTGGGAGGCCAAGGCAGACGGATCACGAGGTCAGGAGATCAAGACTACCCTGGCTAACATGGTGAAACCCCATCTCTACTAAAAAATACAAAAATTAGCTGGGCTTGGTGGTGGGCACCTGTAGTCCCAGCTACTCAGAAGGCTGAGGCAGGAGAGTGGCGTGAACCCGGGAGGCAGAGCTTGCAGTGAGCCAAGATTGTCCCACTGCACTCCAGCCTGGGCGACAGAGCGAGTCTCTGTCTCAAAAAAAAAATCTAAGATTTCAGGCTCTTCAGTCTGGTAAGTTTCTACCTTGAAGTTCAGAGTCCAAACTACAGTAATTATAGCATGCAAAGTGAGTAATCTAAATAGACACTAAGTATAATGTCCATGAGTATTCTCTTATGAAGCCTTAATAGCTAACATTTATGAAAGAATAGCTAACATTTATGATAGCTAACAATTATGGGATTACAGGTGCATGCCACCACACCTAGCTAATTTTTGTACTTTTTGTAGAGATGGGGTTTTGTCTCTATGTATGAAAGAAGGAAAGATTATTCTCATACAGCAACAGCTAAGCAAAGATCTATTGGCTAATATATTGTAGTTGCAGTGTTTGCTCTCATGCTCAAGGAGAGGCCATGGAGTTTAGGCCTTTCATTTCTATCTTCTCATCTATAAATATAAATGAAATTCCAACATCATACTCAGCAAATACACCTATATAAGTAGAACTGGGAATGCAAATTTTTGCTATATATTAAACCTATCATTTTCTGAGTTTTTAGATTCTTTCTACTTTGGGGGGCTGGGATACAATACCAAAACACATAAATATATATGAAGTTGGCACTAAAGGAAGATAGGGAACATTTTGGTGTATTATGATCCCTATGCTTTTGACACTGGCAGGTATAAATGAGTACCGATGGGGTTGCCAGAAGGAAGAGGCCAATCTAAAAGCACTACTTTCGAGGGTCTTCCATACCATGTGATGATAAATAGGACATTCGTTGTGGCGATTTTGGGAGGGAGTTTCAGTGGGGCACTAGACCCATTCATCTTGACACCCAGGAGGTAATAAATGCTGAGGAAACTGTTCCAGACTTGCAGGGAATGTGTTATGTGTTACTGAACAAAGCGCATCTTTTTTTTTTTTTTTTTTTTTTTTAGATAGAGTCTCACTCTGTAGCCCAGGTTGGAGTGCAGCAGCATGATCTTGCGTCACTGCAGCCTCCATCTCCAGGCTCAGTGATCCTCCAACCTCAGCCTCTTGATAGCTGGGATTACAGGTGCGTGCCACCACACCTGGCTAATTTTTGTATTTTTTGTAGAGACAGGGTTTTGTTTCTATGTTTATGTTGCTCAGGCTGGACTCAAACTCTTGGACTCAAGCAGTCTGCCTGCCTCGGCCTCCCAAAGTGCTGGGATTACAGGCACGAGCCATCACACCCGGCCACATCTTTCTTTTTGAGGACAAAGTGAGATGGCTCAGAGAATGCCTCTGTACTCCAGATGATTAGACAAAATGAAAGATGGCCACACAGGCGGTAAGAAATAGATTGATGGAGGAAAAAAGGGGATTTGAAACCATAATTAACAAGTTGGCTAGAAGGAAACATGACAACCAGAAGTAATCATGCCTCTCAAACTAGAGAGCAAGTGAGAAACTTCGTTTTAAATAATAAGAGATGGGGGTCTCACTATGTTGCTCAGGCCGGTCTCAAACACCTGGCTCAAGGAATCCTCCCATCTTGGCCCCCTAAAGTGCTGGAATTACATGTGTGAGCCAGTGTGCTTGGCAATTCCTGTTGTTTAAACTACTCAGTTTGTGGTACTCTATTATGGTGGCCCTAGGAAATGAATGTGGTAATTTATTAGTGACTCTGGAGAGAAGAGTTTAAAAGCCTGTGAGCAGAGGGCAGATTTGGGGTTTGGAAATGGAACCACTTCTTTTATCTAGAGACCTAAAATCTAAGATTTCCATGAAGCCTACTCCAGCTAGAAGAGAATTTTATAAACTATTTAAATGTATACTTCCATTACTATTTCTTAATTGAAAATACTCAAACAATAGGCCACTTTCTCCTTCAAAATAAAGATTCATGGATTTAATTCTTGGCTACAAGAATTTGCTCATCTGCCTGAATCAAACTACAAAATTAGCCGGATGTGGTGGCACATGCCTGTAATCCCAGCTACTCGAGAGGCTGAGGCAGGAGAATCGCTTGAACGTGGGAGGTGTAGGTTGCAGTGAGCCGAGATCATGCCATTGCATCCAGTCTCGGCAACAAGAGTGAGTGAAACTCCGTCTCAAAAAAAAAAAAAAAAAAAAAAAAAAAAAGAATGAACACAAGTTAAACATTTTGTTTACTTTCTATTTGGAGTGGTGAATTTTATAAATGTAGCACAGATAGCAGTTTTTGAGGGCAGAGATTGTATATTTCTACAGAACCATGTACAGTCTATAGGTAGGTAAGTAATTAATAGAAAATTTCTGATGAAGGTAAGATGAAGAGTGACTCAAAATTCCTGCGTTAGATCCAGAAAAAACACTTAAAAGCAGCATTTCTGGCCAGGCGCGGTGGCTTACACCTGTAATCCCAGCACTTTGGGAGGCTGAGGTGGGTGGATCACCTGAGGTCAGGAGTTCAAGACCAGCCTGGCCAACATGGTGAACCCCGTTTCTACTAAAAATACAAAACTTCACCAGGTGTGGTGGCACACGCCTGTAATCCCAGCTACTCAGGAGGCTGAGGCAGGAGAATCGCCTGAACCCAGGAAGTGGAGGTTGCACTGAGCCAAGACTGCGCCATTGCACTCCAGCCCAGGCAACAAGAGCAAAACTCCATCTCAGAAAAAAAAAAAAAAAAAAAAAGGAAAAAAGGCAGCATTTCCATTCCCTTCAGTGGAAGGGTTCTACACCTACACCCTGCCAAAATCCATTTCCAGTTACTAGTAGAACCTTGTCTGAAGGTGCAAAGTTTAAGAACTGGCTCAACATTTTTATTTATTGTTACTATTTTTTGGAGACAGGGTCTTGCTCTGTCACCCAAGCTGGAGTGCAGTAGTGGGATCACAGTACTCACTGTAGCCTCAACCCCGTGGGCTCAAGCGATCCTCCCACCTCAGCCTCCCAAGCATCTGGGACCACACATGTGTGTCACTATACCTGGCTAATTAAGACAAAAAACATTTTTTTTTTGTAGACAGGGTCTTACTATGTTACCTTGGCTGGTCTCAAACTCTTGGGCTCAAGTGATCCTTCCACCTCGGCCTCCCAAAGTGCTGGGATTACAGGACTGGGTCACCATACCCAGCCTCCTAATACTTTTTTTTTTTGAGACAGCATCTTGCTCTGTTGCCCAAGTTGGAGTGCAATGGCATGATCTTGGCTCACTGCAACCTCTGCCTCCTGGGTTCAAGAGATACTCATGCCTCAGTCCCCCGAGTAGTTGGGATTACAGGTGTGTACCACCATACTCGGCTGACTTTTATATTTTTAGTAGAGACGGGGTTTCACCATGTTGGCCAGGCTGGTGTCAAACTCCTGGCCTCAAGTAATTTGCCCTCCTTAAGCTCCCACAGTGCTGGAATTACAGGCATGAGCCACCACATCCAGTCCTCTCAACAAATTTAAAGGTTAAAACTTCTGAGTGATGTGTCAAGAACAGTCTTTGTTCTAGGACCAATTGTATTCTGAAATTCTTTCTCTAAAATAGGATGTCAAACTACTAGGTGCAGTGATCACTAGGTCAAAATTAATACTGCCTACCCACTATGGTCCTCTTGCTATCTTTCCATTCCTCTACCACCCTTAAAATGTCTCTGACTCCTGTTCAGTGCTGCTTCTGAAGACTCACGATAATAATCCAGCATCTAGTTTCATCAGGATTCAATGCTAGTAAGAGTAATGTTCAAACCCATCATAAATCTTTTTTTTTTTTTTGACATGGAGTCTCACTCCATCGCCCAGGCTGGAGTACGGGGGAGCAGTCTTGGCTCACTGCAACCTCCATCTTCCAGGTTCAAGCGATTCACCTGCCTCACCCTCCTGAGTAGCTGGGATTACAGATACCCGCCACCATGCCTGGCTAATTTTTGTATTTTTAGTAGGGAGGTGGTTTCACCACGTTGGCCTGGCTGGTCTCCAACTCTTCATCTCCAGTGACCCATCCACCTCGGCCTCCCAAAGTGCTGGGATTACAGGCATGAACCACCGTGCCCGGCCCATCATAAATCTTCAAGGATTTTTCCTAAATATGACAATGCAGACTGTATTGCCATTAATTAGGAAGCTTAATAATTGGCAAAAAAAAGTACTTGGTAGAAAAAAATTCAGATTTTAAAAACTGTTAATTTTTGCATAATTACAACTTACTCCTTAAGAATGAGAGATTTCAATTTAAACTGATGTTTTAATACATATTTTATATTCTTAAAATATATATATATTTCGAGACGGAGTCTCACTCTGTTGCCCACGCTGGAATGCAGTGGCGTGATCTTGGCTCACTGCAACCTCTGCCTCCCAGGTTCAAGTGCTGGGATTACAGGCATTGAGTCACCACGCCTGACCTCATTTTTGTTTTTTAACAGAAAAAGTGGCAGAGGAGATGGACACTAGAGAATGCTTTTAAATTTGATCTGAATCTTTATAAATATAGTTACAGTCAGAGACAGCAGAACCTTGGCATTCTGATTGCAGGAGCTCCAGGGCAACGTAGTCAACTCATATTCCTAGCTGTCTGATTAAATACATTTAAACACTAGGTTTCTAACAATAAATACTACATTTAGGGTAGTGTTGCCCTCTAGGGGCAGTGAGGGAAAAGAAATTAGGGTGAACAAAAGGGTCTTCAGGCTGGGCGCAGTGGCTCACGCCTGTAATCCCAACACTGTGGGAGGCCGAGGCAGGTGGATCACGAGGGCAGGAGATCGAGACCATCCTGGCTAACACAGTGAAACCCCGTCTCTACTAAAAATACAAAAAATTAGCTGGATGAGGTGGCAGGCGCCTGTAGTCCCAGCTACTCAGAAGGCTGAGGCAGGAGAAGGGTGTAAACCCAGCAGGCAGAGCTTGCAGTGAGCTGAGATTGCGCCACTGCACTCCAGCCTGGGCGACAGAGCGAGACTCCGTCTCAAAAAACAAACAAACAACAACAAAAAAAACCGGGTCTTTAAGGCCAGGCATGGTGGCTCACACCTGTTATCCCAGCATGTTGGGATGCCAAGGCAGATGGATCACTTGAGGTCGGAAGTTCGAGACCAGCCTGACCAACATGGAGAAACCCTGTCTCTACTAAAAATACAAAATTAGCTGAGCATGGTGGTGCACGTCTGTAATCCCAGCTACTCAGGAGGCTGAGGCAGGAGAATGGCTTGAGCCCAGGAGGCAGAGGTTGCAGTGAGCCGAGATTGTGCCACTGTACTCCAGCCTGGGTGACAGGAGCAAAATTCCATTAAAAAAAAAAAAAAGGTTTAGTTTAAATCATATTTGTAATGCACTCTTTTTTTTTTTTTTTTTCCTGAGATGGAGTCTTGCTCTTGTTGCTCAGGCTGGAGTGCAACAGCACAATCTCAGCTCACTGCAACCTCCGCCTCCCAGGTTTAAGCGATTCTCCTGCCTCAGCCACCTGAGTAGCTGGGATTACAGGTGCCCGCCACCACGCCTGGCTAATTTTTGTATTTTTAGTAGAGATGGGGTGTCACCATGTTGGCCAGGCTGGTCTTGAACTCCTGACCTTGTGATCCGCCCGCCTTGACATCCTAAAGTGCTGGGATGGTAGGTGTGAGCCACTGCACCTGGTCAATGCACCTTTTTTTTTGAGATGGAGTCTCGCTTTGTCACCTAGGCTGGAGTGCAGTGGCACGATCTCGGCTCACTGCAACCTCCGCCTCCCAGGTTCAAGTGATTCTCCTGCCTCAGCCTCCTGAGTAGCTGGAATTACAGGCACACACCACCATGCCCCGCTAATTTTTGTATTTTTAGTAGAGATGGGGTTTCACCATGTTGGTCAGGCTGGTCTCAAACTCCTGACCTCATGATCTGCCAACCTCGGCCTCCCAAGTACTGGGATTACAGGCATAAGCCACCATGCCCGGCCCCTGCACTCTTTCTTAAACTGTGTTAGGCTTATGACTTGTTGTTGTTGTTGTTTTGAGATAAAGTCTAGCTCTGTCACCTAGGCTGGAGTGCAGTGGCACGATCTCAGCTCACTGCAACCTCCAACCTCCCGGGTTCAAGCGATTCTCCTGCCTCAACCTCCCGAGAAGCTGGGACTATAGGCATCCGCCACCACCTGGGCGAGGTGGCTCATGCGTGTAATCCCAGCACTTTGGGAAGCTGAGTAGGGCTGATCACTTGAGATCAGGAGTTTGAGACCAGCCTGGCCAACATGGCGAAACCCCGTCCTTACTAAAAATACAAAAATTAGCCGGGTGTGGTGGTGGGCACCTATAATCCCAGGTAGTTGGTAGACTGAGGCAGGAGAATTGCTTGAACTTGGGAGGCAGAGGTTTCAGTGAGCTGAGATCACACCACTGTACTCCAACCTGGGTGACAAGAAGAGACTCCATCTAAAACATTTCTGAATATCCAAAGTAATCCATACTTTATGAAAAGGTTCCAAAATGGCTGATTCAGTATAAAGCATTTTATCTCAATTAGCTTACCACAGTTACTTCTACTTTTTTGTGAAATAGATGGTTATTTTATATAAAGAAAAGCATGTGTTGTTGTGAAAAATACACAGTAGGTAAGAACACTTAGCTTAAGAAACCCTACATAATTCTAATTAGCTAAAAAATGACACTTCTAACATATTTTCTATAAATTGAAGAAGAGATTCAACTCCTGAAATTTTTCGAGACATATGTACATATTTTTTCCCTGAAAGATCACTAATGATGGTTATAAAACTTTTTATTTTTGAGATGGAGTCTTGCTCTGTTGCCCAGGCTGCAGTGCAGTGGCACCTTCTTGGCTTACTGCAACCTTTGCCTCCTGGGTTCAAGCGATCCTCCTGCCTCAGCCTTCCGAGTAGCTGGGACTACAGGCACCCACCACCACGCCCAGCTAATTTTTGTATTTTAGTAGAGATGGGGTTTCACCATGTTGGCCAGGCTGGTCTTGAACACCCAACCTCAGGTGATCCGCCCATCTTGGCCTCCCAAAGTGGTGGGATTACAGGTGTGAGCCACCGTGCCTGGCATAAAACTTTTAAGAAAAAAAATATTCTGATGCTACTGAGAGTAATGTATCCTTGCATGGCCATTTACAATTCATTGGGGGTTTTCGCATGATACCTTGCTTGATCAGCATGACCATTCCAGCCTAGGTAATCTCATTTTCCCTGTTTTATAGATGATGAAGCAGGACTTCAGAAAGGGCAAATAACTTTTTCCAGGTCTCACAGTTAGTCAGTAATACTGCTCCTTCTACTTTATCCCATTATTGGCAAAATGAGTAAATTTTAGCTTGAGAGAGAAAGAGAGCAAGACAAGGCCATATAGTATTGAGTCTTCTCAGAGTCCAATGCTGCTAGTTCTTTACCAATGATGTCATACCTGGTGATTCTGCAAGGTGCTCTTGTTTCTCTTCTCTGTCCTGAAATTGAATTAAATGTGACCACAAAGCCGACTTCCCCTGGAAGCACAAGGTGTGTAAAAATTTCATAAGAAATAATTCATCATAAAATAATTTCTCATCCAAATCATTCATATTCCAATAGCCATTTAGAAGTTTGGTGACCCAAGCTTATTCATTCCTAGCTGTATGACATTCTGAGCATCTTCTGCATGTATCATAAAGGTCATCCTTTGCCTCACTGAGAAGACTGGCAAGAGCCTGGGGAAAGGAAGCAGCTAAGCAAAGGGCCAGCATGGCAGGCAGAAGATTTCTGATGTCTGCTAGGTTGTTACTTAGTTGTATATAATTAGGGCTGTCTACACTGGGTACATCAGTAACCATGGGATTAAAATGCTCTAGCAGCACAGAATGTACTTGTGTACGTCTATATGTAAAATATGTTTGGATATATGGAGTGGCAATAAGACAAAAAAATAGAGGTGAGAGGAGAAAGAGAAAAAGGGAAGAAGAAAGAAACACGCACGCATCAGAAAAAAATCAGAAAGGGAGACTAGAGAGACGAAAGCAAAGAGACCATTTGAATTTTTTCACCCTGAATTATTAGATCTAACTTAAAATGGCAAGGAACTGTTAATTCTGGACAGTGACAAAGGCAAACATTTAATGGAACTTACTAGGGATACAGCCTCTGCAATGATGTGCTATTTCATCCTTTCCTGCTTAGCAGTAAAGATCCCCAAACCACCTCCTGCTCATGGGTTATATTTTCTTGTTCTGAAATTAAAATGTCTGTGGCATTTTTCTAGTCCCCTTGTGACAAAAGAGCCTATTTGTTTTTTAATGACATATTTTTCTCCTTGTTACATTTCTTCACAGGGCTCTTAACTGGCCATGTCACCAGGACCTCCTAAAACTGTTACCTGCTTGACCTGCAAGCCATGGCTCCATATCCTCTCCAGCAGGTCACAGAGGCTGGCGATCAAGGTGTTCTCCTCCAGGCCGGTGATGTTTGCTTCTCCATGGCCAAGTTCCACTGCTTCGTGTCCCATCTTCTCCACCAACATGCGCTTTGTCTAAGAATATCACGTGTAGTCATAAGGCACCCCAGTAGTGAAACCAAAAACCAACAAGTCAATTACTGAAGTAGGAGACTTGGTTTCCCTTCATTATACCTCTGTTTGCAGATTTGTAATCACCTTGGGAAAAATCTCTTAATCTTGGTGGTCAACTAATTGGAGTAATATAATTTATATGTTACTATTTTGTCAGAAAAAATGGAGTGTAACTAAAGAGAAAATAAGATAATATTTGTAAGCATCCCCATGTTGAAAAGATGCTTATGTACAACAATTGTCAAATTATTAACTTCTGTGATATTGGGGAATTACAGCAGACCTAGAAAATGTACTGTCAGGGTTGGGTATGGTGGCTCACACCTGTAATCCCGGCACTTTGGGAGGTCGAGGCAAGTGGATCACCTGAGGTCAGGAGTTCGAGACCAGCCTGGCCAACATGGTGAAACCCTGTCTCTACTAAAAATACAAAAGTTAGCCGGGTAGTAGTGCCACACTCCTGTAATCCCAGTTATTTGGGAAGCTGAGGCAGAAGAATCGCTTGAACCCAAGAGGTAGAGGTTGCAGTGAGCTGAGATTGTGCCACTGTGCCAGCCTGCTGGGTGACAGAGCGAGACTCTGTCTCAAAAAACAAAAAACAATAAAAAAAGAAAATGTACCGTCAGAATATGGAACCCCATCCTGCCACCACAACTTGCCCTATCACTGCCCCAGCATCTTAGCATACTAAAGATTCTTGCACTCAGTTTGATTGCACTTAAGTAAAAACCAGAATACAAATGGGCAGCTCTAAATTTTTTGAGAACTCTAATTTGTGAATGAACCAGGACTTCCCTTCTCTTTTCCTTTTTTAACTTTTCTTTGTTCATCAAGCATACACCAAAAAATGCAAAGAAAATGGAAATCAGTTTCATGTAAGTTAATTTGCATCAGTCTTAGTAGCTTTTATAAAATGTAAAATGAGAGAGAATCTAGCTCTTTTAGGCAAGAACTTTAATTCACCACTATATTCTGATGCTGAAAATAGTGCATTTATTGAATATGCAGAGAAGGTACTCAAGAAATGACTGTCAAATAAATAAATAAAATTATTAGCTAAAATGATGTTTTTAAGTTTTGTCAATTTGTACTGCTACCTCCAAAAAACACAAGTTTCTGAGAGGAGAATGCTGTGCAATATACACAAACCTACAACACAGCCAAGGTAGTTTTCCTTATGGGGATGAAAACCATGTATAGGCACAAATAAGGCTGTACACAGCTGCACACACAGACACAAGTGTTGCCTTTCACATAAGATGACAACATTCCTGACACAAACTATGAGTGGCTTAAGACATCCGTTCATGTTGGTGAGGAGGACAGCAATGTCTGAAAAGGGGAGAAAAATGATACAAGGCTCTCATGTCATTGATTCTGTGGGCAATGAAGAACCCACGGAGGTTCAATACCCCAGTAAAGAGTACATGAGGTCAATGCCACAATAAGAGTTTTCTTCTAGCAAAATTACATGCTTAAATGGGGGTTAACTCAGTTCATCTTAGCCTCACACATGGTGTAAACATGAATGCACACTGTCTGGCATCAGTGAATAATACATACCTTCATTCTACATTCTTTTAATAAGCCTTCTACGAATTTACAGTTGGTCTGTGCAATCACTGCAGGAGAGAGGTCTGACAGTTTGGGTTGCCTCAGGTTTTTTCCTAAACTTCGTGCCTCTTGCATATATTTCTAAAAATTAAGGAGTATTTTTAATGCATAAACATTAGCTATTCTTCTAATCTTCTTAACCTTATACAAACAAGTGCAGAGACAAATGAAATGCAAAAAAGTCTGTAAGTGTATGCGCATAACAACAATTAATGTTTTAGTGCACCAAAAGACAGAGGACACTCATATGCCACCCCACAACAACTGTTAACTCCTGTGAGAAGTAAAGTGACAGAAATCCCATCAAATTAAAACTTATTCAAAGTGAGATGACATTTCATTTTGTTTAGTCTTTTCACTGGGAATACAAAAGGTTGTGATTAGTCAGGATTGTGGTTGGGACAAAAAAATTTAGGTGTTTAGATTACAAATCCAAGGTTTTGCAGGAGCCCAGTGGTTCTCAGATCACCGATTTCCTCCACTCCTTTCCCCATACAGCAAGACTTAACATACCTCTAGCCTCTTGGGCAGTGCGCTCCAATCTAACCCTTTGCTCTATAATCAAGTCACAACAGTAAAATCAGGAACTTTAGAATCTGGTTGTAACTAATTTTATGACTCAGGCATATCAACTAATGTTTGTGCACCTCAGCTTGTTAAATGGGCATAAAACATGCCCCCCTACCTTCCCAAAAGGCTATAAGATCACTCTGAAAAGCACGATGTGCTCCAAGCGAAGGTGGCCTCTTTCTGTGATGTTTTTGCTAAAGCCCTTCCTTGCCTTGTTCCATAATCAAGAGAAAGTGAATTACAGTTACTTTTGGGGTTTTTGGTAACTCTAAGGTATCACAGAAACTTAACCAAATGCTCTTGAGCTTTGGTTAGTGAATTTCTATTAAAAAGAAAATCACTACATGTGATTAGTGCAAGACACGTGCTCTCTCTCTCCTTTCTATGCTGTCTATAAAGGTTCATCCAGGGGCTGGGCGGTGGCTCCCGTCTGTAATCCCAGCACTTTGGGAGGCCGAGATGGGTGGATCACCAGAGGTCAGGAGTGTGAGACCAGCCTGGTCAACATGGTGAAACCCCGTCTCTACTAAAAATACAAAAATTAGCCAGGTGTGGTAGTGGATGCCTGTAATCCACCTACTCGGGATTATAGGCTACTCCCCAGCTACTCGGGAGGCTGAGGCAGAACAATCACTGAAACCTGGGAGGCGGAGACTGCAGTGAGTGCAGATGGCGTCACTGCACTCCAGCCTGGGCAACTGAGCGAGACTCCATCTCAAAAAAACAAAACAAAACAAAACAAAACAAAAAACCAAAAAAAACAAAACAAACAAACAAACAAAAAACCCATCTGGATACCTTGTGTTTACATCAGGATCACAGGGCAGAATTTTCCAAAAAGTCCAAGTGTCTTAGGACCATATCTAGAAAATAACTGCTCTACAATACATAGTAAAAGAAGCAGTTTATTGGCTGGTAGTTGGGGGCAGCAGGGAGACTGAGACGGCAAGCCAGCACATCCTCCCACAGGCACATATGTGAAATCTATCCTTACTATCTTCAGAGGAGAGCTTGATATTATAAAAGAAGATGTGTAAAATCCTTTGCATTCTTTAAAAAAGAGAGTTTGTACATTTAATATATTTCTCATTTGGAAGAAAACTAATCTGCTAAGTCTGGTACAAATAAAAAAAAATCCCACTGATTAGGGATTCAACTCATCAGTTTACCTGCTACCTCCCAATCCTTGTGATGAAAGGCAAAATTAACAAAATAATGTTTTTTCCAGTCCAATCACTTTTACAGTTGTCTCTGATTCTCAATTTTCCCTTATTTCTTTGACCCTCTTAAAAATGTTTGAAGCAGAGGCCAGGCGTGGTGGCTCACACCTGTAATCCCAGCACTTTGGGAGGCCGAGACGGACGGATCACAAGGTCAGGAGTTCGAGACCAGCCTGGCCAACATGGTGAAACCCCGTCTCTACTAAAAATACAAAAATGTGACAGGCGCCTGTAATCCCAGCTACTTGGGAGGCTAAGGCAAGAGAACTGCTTGATCCCGGGAGGCAGAGGTTGCAGTGAGCCAAGATCGTGCCATCGCACTCCAGACTAGGTGACAAGAGTAAGACTCCATCTCAAAAAAAAATGTTTGCAGCAGAAAGAAGTATAAATAAATGTTATGGGAACTGCAGAGTTTATTTTTATTTTATTTTTTGGGATGGAACCTCGCTCTGTCGCCCAGGCTGAAGTGCAGTGGCGCGATCTCAGCTAACTACTACCTCTGCCTCCCAGGTACAAGTAATTCTCCTGCCTCGGCCTCTTGAGTAGCTGGGATTACAGGCACGTTCCACCATGCCCGGCTATTTTCTTTTTTTTTTTTTTTGAGACGGAGTCTTGCTCTATCACCCAGGCTGGAGTGCAGTGGCGTGATCTCGGCTTACTGCAACCTCCGCCTCCCAGGTTCAAGTGATTCTCCTGCCTTAGTCTCCTGAGTAGCTGGGATTATAGATGCACATCACCATGCCTGGCTAATTTTTATATTTTCAGTAGAGACTGGGTTTCACCATGTTGGTCAGGTTGATCTCGAACTCCTGACCTTGTGATCCACCCACCTCGGCTTCCCAAAGTGCTGGGATTACAGGCGTGAGCCACCACGCCCGGCCATAATTTTGTATTTTTTAGTAGAGACAGGGTTTCACTATGTTGGTCAGGCTGGTCTTGAACTCCTGACCTCGTGATCTGCCTGCCTTGGCCTCCCGAAGTGCTGGGATTACAGGCGTGAGCCACTGTGCCTGGAGAGTTTGATTTTTAAAATCTATCAACCATTACCAGCAGAGAAGTCAAATGTAACAAGGTCTATAGAAATGGTCTGAAGGTTAGTTTTATTTATTTTTTTCTTGAGATGAAGTCTCGCTCTGTTGCCCAGGCTGGAGGGCAATGGCTCAGTCTTGGCTCACTGCAAACTCCGCCTCCTGGGTTCAAGCAATTCTCTTGCCTCAGCCTCTCAAGTAGCTGGGATTACAGGTGCTGGCCACCACACCTGGCTAATTTTTGTGTTTTTAGTAGAGATGGGGTTTCGCCATGTGGGCCAGGATGGTCTCGAATTCCTGACCTCAAGTGATCCACTCACCTCGGCTTCCCAAAGTGCTGGGATTACAGGCATGAGCCACCATGCCCTGCCTGTTTTTTGTTTGTTTGTTTTTTAAAGACAGAGTCTTGCTCTGTCGTCCACGATGGAGTGCAGTGGTACAATCTTGGCTCACTGTAACCTCCGCCTCCTGGGTTCAAGCGATTCTCCTGCCTCAGCCTCTCAAGTAGCTGGCATTATAGGCACGCACTACAATACCTGGCTAATTTTTATATTTTTAGTAGAGATGGGGTTTCACCATGTTGGCCAGGCTGGTCTTGAACTCCCGATCTCAAATAATCTCCCTGCCTCGGCCTCCCAAACTGTTGGGATTATAGGTGTGAGCCACCGCCCAGCCTGAATCCTTTTTTTGTTTGGTTTTTGCTTTTTTGAAACAGAGTCTTGGTCTGTTGCCCAGGCTGGAGTGCAGTGGCGTGATCTTAGCTCGCTGCAGCCTCCGTCTCCAAGGTGCAAGCAATTTTCCTGCCTCAGCCTCCTGAGTAGCTGGGACTACAGGCACATGCCACCACGTCCAGCTAATTTTTGTATTTTTAGTAGAGTCAGGGTTTCACCATGTTGGCCAAGCTGGTCTCGAACTCCTGTCCTCAAGTGATCCGCCCACCTCATCCTCCCAAAGTGCTGGGATTAAAAGTGTAAGTCACTGCGCCTGTCCCCTGAATACTTTTTAAAGTCAATTGTTGGATTAAAAATTAACCACTGTCAGCTGGTTGAGGTTGCTCATGCCTATAATCCCAGCACTTTGGGAGGCCGAGGTGGGAGGATCACGAGGCCAAGAGATAGAGACCACCCTGGCCAACATGGTGAAACCCCGTCTCTACTAAAAATACAAAAAAAAAAAAAAAAAAATTAGCTGGGCGTAGTGGTGCGTGCCTGTAGTCCTAGCTACCTGGGAGGCCTAGGCAGGACGATGGGGAGGTGGAGGTTACAGTGAGCCGAGATCATGCCACTGCACTCCAGCCTGGTGACAGAGGGAGACTCTGTCTCAAAAACAAACAAAAAATTAAGCACTGTTTAAAGTTTATGTCCTGTTTTACATAAATGAAAACAAGCTAGATTGTGCCTGTCCTATGAGTGACCAACTTACTGAGCCCCCAGTACATATGGGGCAGGTACAGTTATTAGCCAACAGTGGATTCCATAGGGCCATGTGCAAAGTCTCCTTCTGGGCATCTCTGCTGGAGACACAGAACTAGCAACATTCCATGGACATGCACAGAAAGGATACAGGGGGCGGCAAAAGGCCTCTCTTCACAGCAAGAAGGGAGGCTGCCTCTGCAAGTTGCAAAAACAGAGCAACTGCCTTTAAAATAAACAAGTGATGATAAAAATATCATCTGAAGGAAAAAACATATTTCAAGATGAAAAATACAGAACAGAGAGACACTTTTCACAAGAAATGCTTTTATAATACAGTCTAGAAGTAACCCCAGATTTCTTCTGAGATTACTATTGCGTTCTTCTTTATTTCTGCTTAAGAACAAATGAAACAAACCACTAGGAACTACCTATGAAAATATATCCTGTTATTCAATAAAAAACACTGAACGAACTGCTCTTTAATACAGGCTCTCCCAGAATTTTCTAATAAACACCCTAGCCCTTTACCTGGTGTTCAACTTGTGAAGAGAAGACCATTGTACAATAGATTTAAGCTAGTATGACATAATGGGCAGAAAATATAAGCAAGATTTCTAAGTGACTTGTTGCCTCAAGTGAACAGCAGTTAGTGAAAGCCGGCATGCAGGGTAAATGGAAAGAATATTGGCCTAGAAGTCAGGAGTCCTGGGCTATAGGCCCAGCTCTGTCTTTGTGTGCTTTTAACTCTGGGCAAATCTCTTGGACTTCAATTTAATCATGTCAAATTGGACAAGATGACCTTAAAGATTCCTCTTGGCACTGAGATTCTATGTTGATGACTGAACTTTCTGACCACATAAAATACAGACTAGGAAGGGGAAATTAAAATTCTGTGGAGATAAAACCTGGCAAAAGAAAGGCTATTTGAAATTGAATCACATCTGTACTTCTGGAAAACGCTTAAATAAAGGGGAGTTTGTATATTTAATACATTTCCCCCTTTGAAGTAAGGCAATCTGCTATCTAGCACAAAAAAAATCCCACTGATTAGAGACCTGAATGATTAGTTTTACATGTCAGCAGCATAGAATTACTCATATCAGCACACACACAAACAGAGAGGGAGTAAACATAACAAGAAACAGCAAAATGGGGAGTGTGAATTCACATCGCAAGGTCATGTGAGGCATTCTAGAGCTATGTGCACTCACACATGTGTAACATTCAAGTAACACCAAAGACAAGATTGAGGGAACATCTGGTAAAGCACTTTGAAGCAAAGAACATACCAGGCAGCACTCAGAGAAGGATTTTTTAGGAAGTCGTGCAGGAGGAGGTGGACCCTGATCCCACTCCCAGAATGCCATGGAGTTCTGACAGACCAAAAGTTCCCCGGAAGGCTAAGAGGATGGAGAAGTGCCAATGACAGAAAAGCAAAAAAGAAAAGGATAGGGAGAAAGAGACAAGCAGAACAAGCATGCATATGATAAAATCACAGCAAAAGAGAGGGAAGGGAAGAAAATACAGTAGCCAAAAAAAAAAAAAAAAAAAAGCACTACACAGGTGATGTTTCAGTTCTTAATAAAATGTTTAAAATCATACATGTACGAACACAACAAAAACAAAAGATGTTTGGGGTTATGTTTTCTGCTTTGTTTTTACAAATTTGATTCTAGAAAACAGTTAACAGGTCTTCTGACTGGATTTCTCTTTTGATCATAAGAAACAAAACAATCAGGCTGGGCATGGTAGCTCATACCCGTAATCCCAATACTTTGGGAGGCTGAGGCAGGAGCACTGCTTGAGCCTGGGCAACACAGCAAGGCACTATATATATGTATACTGGCATATACATATAGTGGCAGATTTCACACAGAAAAAAATCAAAACTTACTTGTAATTATTCAAATGGATAATTATGGTCTTATTTTCAAACAGTACAAATAAAGTGTAAGGATCTTAATTTAAAAATAGTTTTCAAACACTTTCAAAAATATAAAGTAGATTTAAAGATTCAAGAAAAAAAAATGGTGCCAGCAAGCCAAGAACAAAGCATAGGCAAGTACATCACACTACTTATTACAATTATGCTTGAAATTTAGAAATGTCTAGGCTTCTCATGTAGACAATTTTTCTCCCAATATGAGACATAGTAACTGAAAATTTATCCTAAACTTGATCTTTACTTGATGTAATACACAGAAAGTCTTGTTTTAGAGCCTTATTACAGATGTCTTAAAATTACAAAAATGGAAAAAAGGGTGTTTTCTGCTATATGCCCATACAAAAGGATTAATATTTTAAACTAAACAGTTCTTTTTTTTAAAGAACATTAAGAATCTATACAATGACATCTGCTGGAAGGAATAAGCCTAGTTCATGGCACTTGCTGTGAGGCACCCCAGGAAAGTAGATCACATACCTCCCTCAAGTCGTTGTCCAGCCCAACATGATCAGAATGCTGGCGAAGGCGTTCTTTCCTGCGCTGTGCAGTGGCACTCCGACTTACCCAGCGACTGAAACAACCAAATTATTTAAAAACGTGTTCCTTATATTTAAAATAGAATTAACCATTCAATACAAAAGACTGACACACACATTTTTTAATCAATTATTTAAAAAATATATAGCAGCTTTGTTAAAATATAATTAAAATACCATACTATGCACCCATTTAAAACACACAACCAAACAGTTTTTAGTATCTTTCCAGATACATGCTGTCATCATCACAATCAGAACTTTTAAAAACAGGTCAAAAAGGCACAGAATCAAAACACTTTAGATACTTACATACATAACAATAAGTCAAATATTAACTGAGTTAGTCCTTGATTATATTAAGACATATAATAGTAATGCCTTGACTTGTTCAAAGTATTACGAATATTTTTTAATACAAAGGAGAATATTCTCAAAACCCATAATTTAGAATTACTTAATTCTAGTGTCCTAAAAGAACAATAGAAATGTATGACGCTTCCAACTTTTTAAGGAAAGATTTCTATCAAACTTGGCTGGGTGCAAAGGCTTACACCTGTAATCCTAGCACTTTGGCCTGATTACTTGAGGCCAGGAGTTCGAGACCAGCCTAGGCAACATAGTGAGACTCTGTCTCTACAAAACATTTAAAAAGGCTGAAGTGGGAGAATAATTTGGGCCCAGGAGTTTGGGGATGCAGTGAGCCATGACTGCACTCCTGCATACCAGCCTGGATGACAGTGATATCCCGTCTCAAGAAAAATAAAAAGATTCAAACTCAGAAGAGTACTCATCTGTATAGTCTTAAGGGTTGCGCTCAAAGACCCCTGTGATTCCTTTTTGCTCTAAAATTTCATGATTGTGTTTCTGAAGTGATAGCTTGTGTTTATAAGTTGTTTTAGAAAATATTTATAATATAAACTCAGTATCAAAATACGCAGGACAAATGAGTTTAAAATAAAACCTGAGCTCTTTTCCATGGCCTATAAAACTCTAAATATAAACAGACCTCTGCTTCATTCCCTCTGATCTTATATCACTTCTCCCCTAATTACTATGTTCTAGTATAGTAACCTCCATTCTGTTTCTAAACGATTAATAAAATCATTGCTAGTTCTATAATAATTTTCTCCGCTACTGAACTGCTGGTATTGAAACTGCCTTTCAGATGAGATCAGGTGCGTTCAAGGTGGTATGGCCAAAGATGTAAGAGTTGCCTTCCAGCTCAAATACCTTTGTTTTTAGTTAATAATGATTCAACTCACGTGCCCTAGACCCAGACCTGCCCTAGATGATATGAGGGGCTTAAAAATATGTGTTTCCCTTATTCAAAGGTCCTTTTGTGGCCAGCCTAGCTACCTACAGACTCCAGCTTAGTGTATATGACTCAACCACCCAGCGATTATCCCTAATCACTCCTTTCTCTCTACCATCTTCATTCAGCCAAGAATTTAGAACCTGGCTCAGTTTTCTTCCCTGCTACGGGAAGTACAAAGACTATATAGATAACTTTGTCTTAAAATTCTGGGGTTGTCTAATATGCAACTTTACCTCCACTGCGCTTTAGACGCAACCAGGACATCACACTAAATCAAATGGTCATCCAGAACTCCTCTACCTGAGAAATCCCAAACTCCACCATCTTAGCCACTGACCCCCATCTCCCATTACATTAGCTCTTCCATGCCTTGACTCTCACTTAAGACCCCTTGTGCTTTCTCTTCTTTCTGTTATGAGCCTAAATTCTGTGGAAAGCCACCTAAACTACTCCCATTCTAGCACTCTCTCCTCTGTAATAATTCTCTATTTCCCTCCTTACCTGCCCACTAGAGCCCCAAACCCTGGATGAAGACTATCCCCTCATTTCCCTATTCCTGTACCCACACAGACTAGTTCCCAATTTCCCTCACAACTACCTATGAATCACTTCACCTGTCTTTTATCAACTCTTCCCCATTCTCCTCAAAGACTACTGCAAACTCTTTACCCTCAGGTACCCTCGCTTCTTTCTTCCTGCCTTCCACGTAAGACAATGCATGCACGTAAACATCCTCATCTTTCTTCTGATCTCAAAGTATAAAATATATTAGCCACGGCTCAAAATTGTGTCTTCCACCTGCATCCTTGACCAATTCTCGTCTTTTCAACCCGCTCCATTAGTCACCTCCTCTGCTGTATCACCACTCTTTCTCTCAGTGGAATCTCTTCAGCTGACAAGCATGTTGGTCTTCCTCGTGGCCCTCTGTAGTCATGTTAACATCTGTTTCTTCACACCTCTCATGTAAAAATTCTTAAAATATTTATACATAAGACTTCTACTTATTTACATTTGGATCTTCAGTTCATTTCAAACTAGCTCCTTCCCTTGAAAACACTTTTTAAAGTTTTTTTTGTCTGTTTGTTTGTTTGAGATAGAGTCTTGTTCTGTCACCCAGGCTGGAGTGCAGTGGTGCAACCTCAGCTCACTGCAACCTCCGCGTCCTGGGTTCAAGTGATTCTCCTGCCTCAGCCTCCCGAATAGCTGGGATCAAGGGGGCACGCCACTACACCCAGCTAATTTTTGTATTTTTAGTAGAGATGGGGTTTCACACCATGTTGGCCAGGCTGATCTCGAACCCCTGACCTTCATGTGATCCGCCCACCTCGGCCTCCCAAGTAGCTGGGATCACAGGTGCAAGCCACTAATGCTCAGCTAATTTTTGTATTTTTTGTAGAGACAGGGTTTTACCATGTTGCTAGATCAGTCTTGAACTCCTGAGCTCAAGGCGATCTGCCTGTCTCAGCCTCCCAAAGTGCTGGGATTACAAGCGTGTCTGTTCCCAGTTGCTTAACCCCGCCCCCCCACTGCCTTTTGTTTTTTTGGGATGGAGTCTCAGGCTGTCACCCAAGCTGGAGGGCAGTGGCATGATCTCAGCTCACTAAAACCTCCGCCTCCCGGGTTCAAGTGATTCTCCTGTCTCAGCCTCCCAAGTAGCTGGCTACAGGTGTGTGCCACCACACCCGGCTAATTTTAGTATTTTTTAGTAGAGACAGGGTTTCATTATGTTGGCCAGTCTGGTCTTGAACACCTGACCTCAGGTGATCTGCCCACTTCAGCCTCCCAAAGCGCTGGGATTACAGGCATGAGCCACCGTGCCCAGTCCTAAAAATCCTCTTGATGAAGCCACTGAAATCCCTAACTGCCAAGTCCAATGGCTATTATTTGATCCTTAGCTTACTCAAACCCTCTTCTACATTTAGTACTGCTGATCACTCTTTCTACTTTAAAGCTCCTGCAATTTTTTCTTTTTTTTGGAGACAGAGTTTTGCTCTTGTCACTCAGGCTGGAGTGCAATGCCGCAATCTTGGCTCACGGCAACCTCCACCTCCCGGGTTCAAGCAATTCTCCTGCCTCAGCCTTCCAAGTAGCTGGGATTACAGGCATGTGCCAACATGCCCACCTAATTTTTGTATTTTTAGTGGAGACGGGGTTTCACCATGTTGGCTAGGCTGGTCTGGAACTCCTGAGCTCAGGTACGTGATCTGCCTGCCTCCGCCTCCCAAAGTGCTGGGATTACAGGCGTGAGCCACCGCACCCGGCCCACCTCCTGCAATTTTCAACCTCAGTGTTTCCAATGAAATAAGCTCTCTCACCTCTGAGACTTTGTCCATGAAGTTTCCTCCCAACTTTCATTCATCTTTCAGATAGATTAGAGGCCACTGCTTCCAGAAAATGTTCTATGACTCTTCCAAATCTAAGTTAGCTACCCATCCTGTACACCTCAATTATAGTATCTATCACAGAGTATTATAGTTACTTATCTCCATTTTCTATAAAATCTCCTCTAGAAGGGCCAGTATCTTGCCTCTCAGCTATCTTACTAGCAAAGTCTACTATATCACCTGCCCCTTCTCTCTTTTTTTTTTTTTTTTTGAGACTCAGTCTTGCTCTGCCTTCCAGGCTGGAGTGCAGTGGCATGATCTCAGCTCACTGCAAGTTGCAAGCTCCGCCTCCCGGATTCACGCCATTCTCCTGCCTCAGCCTCCTGAGTAGCTGGGACTACAGGTGCCCGCCACCATGCCTGGCTAATTTTTTGTATTTTTTAGTAGAGACGGGGTTTCACCTTGTTAGCCAGGATGGTCTTGATCTCCTGACCTCATGATCCACTCGCCTCGGCCTCCCAAAGTGCTGGGATTACAGGTGTGAACCACCATGCCTGACCATCACCTGCCTCTTCTATAAATACAATTAAGTAAACAGAGATGCAATCTAACATGTAGGTTTACAGATGTTCATCACAGCATGTATATATGTAATAACAAACTGTATTTCCTTTATTCCAAGACTCACATTTGGGCTTTTAAATGTTCCTGAAATTAGGATGCATCTTTCAGTCCATATGCACGTTTAATATATAATTTTTCCTAAAAGCCTTTGAGTTAATTGCAGATCTTACAAGAGTAGAATCAATATACTCAAAACAACCGAAATGTTCAACAGTAGAGGGTAGTATACAATGAAATCTCATGCAGTCATTAACAAATTCAAATTTCTAATAAATATGAGAATCCTCATGATACAGTAATAAAAAAAGTGTAACATTCTATAAACATTTTAATTTCATTTCAAAAACAAGATGTGGGCCAGGTGCAGTGGCTCACACCAGTAATCCCATCACTTTGGGAGGCCAAGGCCGAGACAGGACAATCACGAGGTTAGGAGATCGAGACATCCTGGCTAACAGGGTGAAACCCCATCTCTACTAAAAATACAAAAAACTAGCCAGGTGTGGTGGCGGGCACCTGTAGTCCCAGCTACTCAGGAGGCTGAGGCAGGAGAATGGCGTGAACCTGGGAGGCGGAGCTTGCAGTGAGCCGAGATCGTGCCACTGTACTCCAGCCTGGGTGACAGAGCGAGACTCTGTCTCAAAAAAAAAAAAAAAAAAAACCCCAAACACAAGATGTGTCCACTCCTGTTCTCCTGCTCCCTCATCTTTGCTATGTAAGAGCATAATATCACATTTTAACATTCCATGGTGATGGGATTCTGAGTGGT